ACCCTTTTTATCAGGCTGGCCTCCACCATTTCCATCAGGACCACCGGTGAGTGATGGGTAAAATGCATGACAGTAAAGGGATACTCTTGTCACAAAAGGGAAAGTTAATAACCCAGACGCTGAATGGTACCACCTGAGCTGGGGATTTAAATAATGGAATATTCCCCTACAATTATTATTTCCCTAATTCAATTAAATTTGCATTAAGAATTATTCTAAATGTTTGTAGTGAACAATTGTTTCTTCTTCAATGTCTTGAGAAGAAAAGGTAGTTATTCCAGTTCAGAAGTCTTTCATTTATCTTTTTAGTTGATACCACCTCCACCACCTTTCAGTCCAGATTCTCCTGACGACGACGAAGCATTGGGAAGTATGTTAATAGCCTGGTATATGAGTGGCTATCACACTGGTTACTATCTGGTAAGAAACATACACCTTTTTCTGTACTAAAATGCAAGCAACTTGCCTAAGTCACCAATTAAGGTGCTAACACTGCTTAAATAGGTTAATCTTTCGATTTGTGGCTGGTCAGCACCTGACAGATTGCATAAAATAAATATTTCTGTAGCTCATTAGAGAGACATGGAACACTGTGGCTGACAGACTTGCACACATTTAATCGGGGGACAATTCTGCTGTGTATTATCTTCCGATTATAGGGAGTGCCAGCTGGTGCGCCTTCTCTTAACCAAAGACCTACTGAACTGCTTTTACCACTGCTATTAAGAACATTTAGATAATCAGGTTAAGTGTAATATGATTTCCACCCCCAGTAATTTAGAGAGCGGAAATATGAACAGGTCCTCTGTAACAACCCATTCTGTCTCTTGTATTGCACAGGGTTTAAAGCAGAGCCGCATGGAAGCTGCCTTGGGGAGACATGCCCACTCTAAGTAGCTGTTGTAAGTACTGCATTTTGTTTTAACTTTAACTTGCAATGGAGGGCAAGCTGAACTTAGTTTCATTTTGAAGGCACAAGATCAGTTTTGGGCTGGTGACATTTTTTTTGCTTTTTCGGGAGATGGGGAAATCACACCTTATGGTGTTTCCTTGGGAGCCCACAGAAAATAGGCTCCTGTAGCTAAATGCGTCCAGGGTTGCTGCAAAGGGGGGTCAAATACTAGAATGTGGCTTGTATGAGTATATTCTCCGTAAAAGAGTGCATGTGTATGAGGGATGGATGGCTATCAACATCAGATTTTTAAGTTTCCCTCTATTTCTGATATAAAGATCAGCTTCGATAGAACATGACCTTAGCATTGGCATAACTTCTTCTGAAATGAATTTACTATCCCACATGGTCTTTTTAAAACTAGGTTTTAAAAAAAAGATTCCCATGAAGGAGGACATCCCAACTCTGTATTGGTCAGCAAAGAAGCTTTCAATGGTACCAGGATTACTGACTGGATAACTCAGAGAGGAATCTGCCAGCAATGTTTTCATCATCATAGCAAGATTTCTGAATGGATAGCCCTGCTTTTTTTTTGCAAGGTGCCCGTATCTTGTTAATCATCGGGTACCTGTTCTGGACTAAGTGAACTGTTATTCAAGTGAATCTGATTATTTGGACTTGCTTTGATTTGTAAAGCAATCTTTCAATTTGTAGAATATCTTCATTTCTAACTCGTTCAGTGATGCCAAGCTGACTACACATTTAAACCTTAAACGAGGTCAGTTTTATGGGATCTAACCATATTTTGCCGAAACTGATGTATGTCCCTTTCTAGCTGTGGATGGCAGTGGTGATAACAGAAACTGTGTAGTCACGTGGTTAATTATGCAGCAGTCCAAATCCTAGGACTAGAAAAATTCCTAGGTAAGTTGAGAGAGAGATTACTTATCAGTTACACCATTCAACTGGTTTGTATTAGTGATCAATAAAATTATTTTTTCCAACTTGCGTTTGTATAGTATGTCAGTGGGTGGGTGTTTATATTTAGAAAGCTTCTAGGTAAGTTGTAAGTTACCAAACATCTTTTTACATTTTGTTGTGGATGAAGATTACATCTCTGAGGGAATTGAACTTGAATTTTTATGCAGTGATGTCTTTAGGTTGTTCAGCACACACCCATCTAGGTTAAACATTTTGTTAGCAGGAAAACATAGCACTAATTTCAGAACCAGAATGTACTAGTATTCCTAAATAAAATACCATGAGAGATTATACTATTTCGGAAATACAACTACCCTTCATCTCCTTAACCCAGGGGTCTGCAACCTGTGGCTCCGGAGCCGCATGTGGCTCTTTTACATTTTTGCCGGGGCGGATACTAGCGAGGGGAGGAGGCACATTGTGCGCCCCGACACTCCTCACTGTGGCGGGCGCTGTACTGGCTGTGACGTCGCATGGGGGCGGTGCGTGCGTTAGTCACACACCGTCCCGACGTCACCTTCCCGCCCGCTGTCAGATCACGGCTCCGGAGATATATTTGTTTTAAATGTCGCAATGTTTTGCGGCTCCCAGTTGTTGTTTTTTCTTCGGAAACGGGTCCAAGTGGCTCTTTTTGTCTTAAAGGTTGCAGACCCCTGCCTTAACCCTAGCTTCTGAAAGTCTAGGTTACATATGGCAGTAGCTTCCCTTTCTCTTCTCCCTTGGGTCTTGGATCTTTCAAATTTCAGTGGCACCCTGTGCAAGGCCAAAATTTGCTTCCCCCACCTCTCACCTTCCATTGTGCTCAATTCACTTCATCATTGTTGTGATGCTTTGCAGTTCGCCCTAGACTCGGGCCCATTGTGGAGGAACTGGTCATGCTGCCCTAAATCCACCTCTACAGTTAAAACAGACCCTTGTCTGCAACCCTGGAGAGATGCTGCCAGTCAGTGCAGACAATACTGTCCTAGATGGAGTAGTGGTCTGATTCAGTATAAGGCAACTTCTGTCAGCCTCCTGTTTTAGTGTCTGTGTTAATTTAAAGGGAGATTTTTATTGTTTATTTTCAATTACGAATGTTCATATTTCAGAATTTGTATACTTTGTAAACCACTTTGAAGCTTATTTTTGACAATCAAACATTAATAACATTAATTCATTAATAACGTTTAGCTGGTGAATGTGTCCTTGTACAAGGAGGTGTGGCCTTCCTCTTTGAAGGATACAGTAGTGCAGCCACTCCTAGGGAAATATCCTGGATCCAATGGCATTTAATAACTACCAGCCAATCACAAATACCTTCTTTTGGGGCAAGGTACTCAAGTGCAGCTGCAGGCAATTCTTTAGGTAAACTGATTATCTACATCAATTCCAATTACTGTTCAGGACTTGATCAGCCTCGGTTATCCTGATGGATGACTTTGATTGGGAGAAGGGGGAGATCAATCTTGCTGTTCCTGCTCAATCTCTCATCAGCTTTTGATGCCATTGTCAATGGAATCCTCCTGGACCATCTACAGGAGATGGGTAACAGGGGCTTCATTCTGCAGTGGTTCTAATCTCGAGACGGTTCAAGAAGAGAGCATTGAATGAGTGTTTCTCAGCCTTCTGGCTGTTGAACTACAGGTTGTTGCAAGATGCCGTACTGTCTCCAGTGCTATTTAACACCTATGTGAAGCAGCTGGGAGTGGTAATGAGATTTGGAGTGAGGTGTCACCAGTACACTGATGATAACCAGCTCGGTTTCTATGTAACCTCAGAATTGGGAATGCTTGAGAAGGTCCTGGACTGGTATCTAGATGTAGTGGTGGGCTGGATGTGAACTAATAAGCTGAGTCTGAAACCTGGCAAGATGAGGGCTCTGTGGGAGAAAGTCACAAAGCTGCCTGCTCTAAATGGGGTTGCACTTTCCCTGTAGGAGCAGGTTCAGTCTGGTGTGGCCTCAGATTCAGCTCTGTCACTGGAGTTGCAGGTTGTTACAAGGGGTATGGCTGAAGCCACAGGCATGTCCACTGCATATGTGAACCCAACATATACCCTGAGAGGAATGGAAGCTTGTGTGGAGTCAGAACATGAGTTTTTTAAATAAGCATGTATACATGTATGCCTAATAAAGGGCCTGCCACAACCTAAAGTAGAAATGATTGGTTTATTATTCAGAAATGAAAGATGAGCAGTACAAGTGCTTTAGAAAACGATGGTACAACTATGCAGGCAGCAAATACGATTTAATATGGTCACCCACCTTAGTTTTGAAGAGTGAAAGAGTCCCTAACTACCCAGAGCTTAGAGAGCGAGTGCAGCAGTTTGCCAGACTCATACTGAAAAGAAAGGAGGGCTTATACACCTAATGGAGCAAGTGGACCACAAAAGTCAGGGATCTGACATGTGTGAAAGTTAAGTTCCCCCCTTCAAAATCCCATGGCAGCAAGGCAACAGAGGTCTCTCAGCCATTCCTTTGGTCCATGGTCATGTGCCTGATTTCTTCTTAAAGGATGCGTCTCAGAGAAGTTTTTAAAAATCATTTCATACTCCTACTGATTTAGATCATGGCACTTCCCTCTACCATCTTTTCATTAGTAAAGGTAAAGGGACCCCTGACCATTAGGTCCAGTTGTGACCGACTCTGGGGTTGCGGCGCTCATCTCGCTTTATTGGCCAAGGGAGCCGGCATACAGCTTCCGGGTCATGTGGCCAGCATGACTAAGCTGCTTCTGGCGAACCAGAGCAGCACATGGAAACGCCGTTTACCTTCCCGATGGAGCAGTACCTATTTATCTACTTGCACTTTGACGTGCTTTCGAACTGCTAGGTTGGCAGGAGCTGGGACCGAGCAACGGGAGCTCACCCCATCTCGGGGATTCGAACCGCCGACCTTCTGATCGGTAAGTCCTAGGCTCTCTGGTTTAACCCACAGCGCCACCCGTGTCCCTTTTCATTAGAAGGTGCTTTATAGATTTCTTCTACTGAAGACAGCACCCTATAGTCGCCTTTGACTGGACTTTACCTTTTTCTTTTCTTTTTTAACTGTGTGGTACAGTTCTATCTCTTGCCTGCAGAAGCTGAAGTGCAATTGAACGTAAAAAGACTCTCTCATCTGTAATCATTATAGTAAAAACAAAACACGCAGCACACTAACACTGTTTATTGAAACGGAGATTGCCTGACATCACTCTCAACCTTTGCCAACACAGAGAAGCAGCTCTTATCATGAGATGGTCTAGAGTGACCATCGCACCAGGGATTTTGCATCCTAGATTTTAAGTCCTAATGACATATTAAACTTGCTTCTTCATGACTGTGCTTTGTGGCTTGTAGCCTATTGTGCAGATTATTATTTAAAATGAAAGCAAGAGCCACTAACTTAGGACACATATCCATTTCAAGTTTCAGAGGTACAAACTTGCACACTATTCAGATTATTTCAGAAGAAGAAAAAGTTTCAATAACTAGTTCCACATACAAATAGCTGTACACATATGTATATTCAAACTGGGTGTGAAAATAGTAATATTTACATAAGCATTCAGCAAAGTGCTCTTCCTCATCTTAAGCTATTTTGCTGAAGACCTTCACTGAACAGTCAAGTTGAATTTTTTACTCACAGAAAAGCAACCAACATTGTTGATCATTAGGTAGCATCACACACAGGGAGGGGCAGGATGCTTGTGAATGCAACCCGGACAGCAGTGCAGAGTATCATGAGCAAAAAGATCACATTCTACACAAAACGCACTCTGGCAGACTTTACATATATAGACCTACAAAAAAGAAAGATTTGAAATTTAAAAGGTTACATTACAACAGATACTAGAATTCTTTTTTGCAACTATTGCCTCATGTACTGAACACCTAACATGGATTTATCTGCTATGATCATAATGCATATTGTTTTATTTTTTTGTTGCCCTTCTGTTTGTGTTTTTGTTTGTTTGGTAAAACACACTAAAATGTTTTACTTCATTTAATAATATGTACTACATTTTGCAGCACAGCATATCATGGCAGTTGGAATATTCCAATGCACTGAACTAGTCTTGACAAGGTGGCATCACTGTGAATATTGAAGCCCACCCCCTTTGCCAGCTGATGCTGTGTAGCAGGGATAGGTGCTTCACCAACAAAATCCCTGCTTTATCCCTGTCCAAACACCAGGAACAAACCCTCAAACCCAGTTTTCAGGTGGATTGGTTTGCTGGAGAGAGCCACAGTTGCACAGGCAGGTGTGTGATGCACAAAGGAACCCTTTCACCAATCTATGTTGGTGTGGCATCGACTGGATGAAGTTGGGTCAGGTCTGGACTGCCCAGCTTGCTCATACAGGCCTTGGAAATATATACCAGGTCAGACACCTCAGCTATGATTAGGTGCCAGATGAGGGTTGTTTTATTGAGAACTGACCTGGCGTTCATGAATAGGACCACATGGTGGGAAGGTTGGTATAGCACAGACTTACATCGCTACCACTCCATAAATATTTTGGTTGATCAATCATTGACATTTTAACCAATGCACCACTTTGCTTTTAATTTGAATGTTACCATATTAGCAAAACTTATTCTATATATCAGGAAAGAGTCCTGATGTATCAACAAGCTCAGACACATTTTTATAGCCTGCAAAGAGACAATCCTAAACATTACTAAATTTTTCTGCTGTCTCTGATGTAAAAGTTATGACCTTTGTTTACATTGTATTAAGTATTAAACATTCAATAACAGGTTTTTTTTAGGGGGAAGAGAAGGATGTGGACAAAAAGCATTACTTGCATGAAGAGCAAGCAAATATAATGTAATTTATAGGTTGAACGCTGAAGACTTACATGCTGATCTGTAATTTCTCCATGGCATCCTTGGCAATAGCTGTTTAAAAATAATATTTATGAAGAGATTTTAAAGAGGCTAATTAATACATACTTCATGTTAAACCTCTATTTCTCATGCCTTAAGTTATGGGTGGAGAACATTTTGGGCCTCTTACATCCCAACCACCAACTTTGACAAGTGGGCAGGGACCACCCACCTGTCAATCAGCTTACATCATGATGATGTAAGGCGACTGGTAGGTGGACAATCCCACCCACCTGTCCAAGTTGATCCACAACAGTAGAGAGAGGGGTCTGCTTCATCAGCACATTCCCCCCAGGAAACACAGTGGAGAATTAGCACCCAAAACACCCCACGTTGTCAGCTGATGGACACATAGACATGGTTTGGGGCAAATGACCTGGTGAGCCAACATTCACCCAAGGGCCACAAGTTCCGCACCCCTGCCTTAAGTATATATAACAGAAATAATGCATATTCTTTCTCTATTTATTCCTGCCTCCACTCCACTCCCTTTGTTGTCTCCCCTTTGTTGCTTTACAGAGTGTAAACCCTCTGAGGTAGGGACTTGTTCTCTGTGTTTTGTAAAGTGTCATGTGCATGCATAGGGCCTTAAAAAAACAGTAAAAGTGCTGCTACTGTTGTGTTTATAAAGCAACTACAGTATTACTTTAATAACAGAATATAGGATCAGAACCAGTTAATCAAATGCCAGGAATGTGTTGCAGTTGTTACAGGTACCTTGCAACTTATGCACATTTAATTTGCATGCAATCAGCTTTACATGTTTGGTCCCCCAAAATATCATTTTCTGAAAGTGGGCGGAAAGGGGGCAAGTGGGGATAAAAGACTTTGGCAATGCCCCCTGTCATTGAACCCAATGTGTTTTGACCATATGCAATTTTGGCTTTATGCGTTATCCCCAGAACGTAACCCCTGCCTGTATAAGTGTTACCTTTAATGGGGGCTTACGATGCACAGAGAAATGTTCAATAGTCCAGCCAAAACAGGGATAACCCATGTCTAGCAAAAAAGATCCTTCACATCTTCCTACTTTCACTTGTGTCAACACAAAAACTGCATGATTATATTAATGATATTGTGGCATAAAATATTGGACCCTGTGAAATGACAGAAGCTGTAACTGTAAAGAGCTGAAGTTCTTTATTTGAAAATATTCCAATTAGTAACGCAGACTACTGTATGAGAATATTGCCTCTCTGGTCACTCAAGAAAGAAGAATAGAAGTGTCAGTTTACCACCATACAATCACAGTCCCCAATTTGCTCATAATAATGAACACTTATATCCGAAACAAAAACCTGTTTCCAAAATGAATGATTGATGATGAGTTGATTGACACAAAACTGGGGGGGGGGGGGAGATGCTGTATCACAATTTGTTCTTATTCCAAGCAAAACATTACCCTGCCATCTTTTTAAAGGAACTAGAACAGTGGTGGGATCAACAGGAAGTAATGGCTATTTAAAATGGTAGTCAAACCCAAAAAGGTGATAATCCTTGCTCTGTTTTCAGTAGCCGCAAGCTCCAGAGCCATTCTTGGAAACAGCAGAAATGGGAATTATGAAAAGATATTTCACCCTTTGGTGGGAAAGAAACCCCCTGCAAATGTACCATTGTTACTATGTGTTCACCATGGTGTTGTGGTCTGTAGGCAGAGATAAATCTATCAACCCATCACATGCTGGAAACATTAACCCCTGGTATTCAGACTGGTTATACCAGACATCTTTTACACACCGTTCTCCTACATACTGTTCCAGTGGGACTTCCTGAAAGGCATCCAAAGGAAATAGGTGATGGTAAGATCGAGCCAGATGGGGTGCAGATACTAGTGTAAGACCTACAAAAAATTATCGGCATATTTATAAAGGGTTCCTGAAAAACAATTCTCAATTATCCTTTTTAAAACGTAGCTTTAACTTATTAACCTTCTTATTAGTATTTCAAACTTCTGCTCCCCTCATAAAACTTGTTTACGGATGTAAAAAGCATACAAATTCTGCTCTTCACCATGTAACTGTAAATGACCAAGGTTTAGTTCTGGATGTCTCTTCTGAATGCTTGGAAGATGTGAACAGAGTAAAGGAGTGCTTTTGGTATGTACAAATGACACTTGATTCATGATCAAGAGACCACAACCAACCCTCTATCTGTGACTAATGTGAAGGGTTTCTAGGTGAAAGGATATGACTTTTACACAGGCCTGATCTGTGGCAACATTTCGTTTAGAAATTAAATATTGGGGAAACTCACCACCTTCCACCCCAGAAAAGAAATTGACTACTGGGAATGTCATAATTGCCTCACACACTGAAGCTGAATAGCATGCACAATTGTGAAGTGTGTGGCTAAATCACAGTGGATGCAGCAAGAGTCAAGGCTGGTGGCTTACTTTTCTGTTTTCCCAGTTGGGGGTTGGCACACAGACGCACACACCCATTATAATAGACAAAGATAAATACACTTAATTACTCACCACAAACTTTGCACTCCACAGGAAGCTCACAGTATTTGGCTCTGCATTGGGGGCAGAAATATCCTCCCAGGGTAAGACCTGGATCATTGCTGTTTTCTAGCTGCCTGTAGAGAAGAACATTTTCCCCACCCTGACAATGTTGCACAGAAACATTTTCAACAATTTGAAAAGGTTTGTTTGTAACGGTGAGAAATGGCATTAGGCCTCAAAGTTTATGGTTTAAGTTCTTGGAGAAGCCAGTATGGCTAAAGAAATCGCACCGCTTTGTCAAGCACTTGAAGAAGAGTTGCATTTTCCAGCAGGGGTGCTTCATCACTGGAATCAGTGCTGTTTACTGAGAGGGGGAGTGGCGAGGCCAGCGTGGTTTAAGTCATGGGAAGAGCCAATCCGCTGCTCCCACTGGTGCATTTGTACCACACCATCCTCACTGCTGCCTCTCCCCTCCCAGTAAGTCACTTGAGTCCATTATAATATCACAGAAGAAAAGGTGGCTGTTCTGCAATGGAAAGTCATTGAGATCTCCTTCCACGGCAAAAGAACTCTGCATTTGTTGTGCAATAATTCCATCTGGGAAGACCCATACAGACACTGTGTCCTTTGGAGTTCTCTCTCCTACAGAAAGTCGGTTCAACTGAAATTCTAGCAATAATAAAATTTACAATGAGCAGAACCTACTTGTAGTTAAACAGAACTGAAGACCAAAATCTAGACATATGGGGAAGAACAGCTACACAGCCAAACCTGCCTTGGATGTTTCCACCAAATTATTTCTGAATGCTGAAAGAGACTATGAGCTGCTATTAAAATGATGTTTTCCCTTACACTACTGGAGCTATTGAAGCAGTAATTTCAGATAAAATGCTGGCTGCTCAATGTACTCATTCAGACTTTTAAACCGCAGTCCATGCCGTGTCTAAATAAAGCAACACATTACTTACGCCATGCTAAAAGATGGCTTTGCGTCCTGATCAGTCAAAGATGCAATGGTGTGCTGAGGAAAGCCTAGCGGAAAAGAACAGTCATAGTTTTAAGTCACTTTATATGTATTGTGGTCCTCATTTAAGAGGAGAATCTTAGTGTGCATTGATTTACATCCCAATATAAGCCACTTTACCGTGCTGACACACAAATCTCTGTGTGGTAGGCTTGGACCATGCCATCACTAGGTAGACAGGGCAAAATGTATGTTACAGATAACTGAAAATGGTAATAACCTGTAGTTAATAAACAATAATTGTCTAAAGCAGTGGTTCTCAAAGACTGTGGCATTGCGCACTAGTGTGGCAGGAGAGGATGGCAATTGTGAGAGAAGATTCAAGGATAAAAAAAAAAAATTAAACATTTCAGTGTGGTATGGATATACAACTGGAAACAGTATCCACACCTCTCTTCAGGAGTATTGGCTATTCTTCTACAGTTCTCCACAATTAGGACAAGGATTTTCAACTCTGACAAATATGAAAGATCAGAAAATGGAAAGGCTTCTTTGTTTTTGATGAGATGAGAGTTTGTCTCAAATTAGACCTAATACAGTCGTACCTTGGTTTTCGAACAGCTTAGTTCTCGGACGTTTTGGCTCCCGAACGCCACAAACAGGGAAGTGAGTGTTCCAGTATGCGAATGTTCTTTGGAATCCGAGCAGCCGACATGGCTTCCGATTGGCTGCAGGATCTTCCTGCAGCCAATCGGAAGCTGCGCCTAGGTTTCCAAACATTTTGGAAGTTGAACGGACTTCCAGAACAGATTCCGTTCAACTTCCACTGTACGACTGTATTATAAGGTAGTTGTGTTCTATGTTATAAATCAAGCACTGCTAGGAGTTATTTCTTTTTGTTTTCCAATGCATTTCTTAGCAATTAAAAATGCAGTGTGGTGCAAGCAAATTTTTGTTCTGAAAGTGTGGCCCAAAGTTTGAGAACAACAGGTCTAAAGTATCTGCAGAACGCAAGTGAAATATTACCTAGTATTGCATTAGATAATTTATGCCAATTACTTGAAACCACAACATAACACTGAAATCTGCCAGCTCAGAATAGGTGGTCTTTAGTACTATCCTAATTGCTTGCCTCTGGATTTAGAGTAAATAATGCTGTGTGTTCAATAACAGTATACCAAAATATTAAAGGACAATTTCTTACCCATTCGAATAAGCGAACTTTCAGAACTTGAACTAGCTGGTGGTGGACTGACATGGTGCATCAGAAGTTCCCTATAATGGCTTTCATCTAAAATGACATGATAGGTTCCTGCCACAAAAGGAAACAAAATAAAAATTTAATTAACTGAGAGCAGGCATCTCAACAGTTGCTCATCTGGTTGCCAGTGGTAAGTAAGAATTGTCAACAAGTGACCAAGGAAAGAAGCCCTGCAAAACCAATTAGTTCTCTTCCCCCCCCCCTTTTAGGCCAAACCTGACACAGGTATATGTGGGCAGATGGGCGAGTAAAAATACATGTCATCTACTACCTTGTGGATCTAATTGTGAAGTTTTTTGAGAGTATGTCAGAAGAAAGGCTGCAATGGTTTAACAGCAAATGAATAATTTTGCACTAATTCCACCACAGCGCAAAGAGATAAAAAGGTTTTGAAGTGAATAGTCATTTAGATAAGCCTAGATAACGCTGACTGACTATGTAAAGATTAACTATTTATGAAATTTTCCTTCTCTGTTAGCATCAGCTTTTAGTGACTTGTCATCAAAATATGTTAGATACAAGCAGTTTTTATTTTATTTATTCCAGACAGCTCTTTGGGGCAAATGCCAGTCAAAAGCAGCTAACAATCAAAACCAAAGAAATATTTTAAAAACCAGATATATATTTTTAAAAGCTAAAAACTACAGTTCAAAACTACAGTCAGACCATCATCCAAATTATAAACATCACAGCTAGAAGGCCAACTGAAAATGCAGGCCTTCAGGGCTTTTTCAATTTAGTTCATGGTTCTCTCATTCACTCACTCACACTCAAATATATACATACCACCAGTTTCCCGGGCAAGTACAGTACAAACTCGAACTTCAGCAGAAAGGCCAATAATAGACACTCTGATCTTAACTGCCTTTAAACTCTTCGATATAAAAAAGAGAAAACACATGCAATAAGAGATCTAAAAAAACCTATAAAATGCACAAGGCTTTCAGGATTCTGTGACAAATATTTGTTTCAAGCATGTTAAGTATCTCTGCATCATCCCAAATGTCAAGAAAGTCCAGCATTCATTCTGGATCCTTTTAATAGTAAAAAACTAAAAAGAAAAAGCAAAAACTTGTGTACCTTAATTAGATCATAAATATTGGAAGGATCACATGTTGTCAGACTGCTGAATATTACTAAGACTTCTCTGCTTGTATGCCCTGGCATATGCCTAGAGAGAATAAAACACTCTTTTATGTTTGTGACAAACAAAAACAAGTGCCAAAACAATCAAACGCAAGACAGAGACCCATTTCTACATAAATTACGTGAGAAAATTATTTTACACTCTGACAGCAATGAGACTTGTTATGAATCGGTGCAGAGAAAATGTTGCATATACAGTGGTACCTCGGGATGCAAACGGGATCCATTCCGGAGCCCCGTTCGCAACCAGAAGCAAACGTAAATAGCGACGGCATGTCTGTGCGCGTCGCTTTTCGCTGCTTCTGCGCATGCGTGTGAAGTAATTTTCAGCGTCTGCGCATGCGTGAGCGGCGAAACCCGGAAGTAACACGCTCAACGTGAAGCATATTCAACCCGAGGTATGACTGTACACACACAGCGTAAGTAGGTGTATTTATGCTCACTAAGTAGTTTGATGGTTCAGCCAAGGCTGTTGAAAGCAAAGTAAGAAATAGGGGAGGGGAATCAGTGTTGGACATATGGGCTTTAAACATCTTCCACTGTAACTTAGCATGTACTAATCTCCAGGATAATTCTGCAGTTTGCTTTGAGTTGCTGCAGCACCTTCAAATTGCAGAACGTCCAAGAGCCAGGGTGGACAATCTCTGGCTAGGTCTTTGAATCTGGACCACAGCCTGCCCTCTTCAGTGCCATTCACCATGTAATTAGTAATTAGCCCTCGGTCTTAGGAAAGAGGTCCCATTTGCACAAATGGAATCGTTCTTTCCCCTGTGACTACTTACTGAATGGGGAGGAAACTAACATTCCCCTCACCCTATGCACAACCCCCCCCCCAAAAAAAACTAAGCCAAGTGCCACACTGAGGGGGGGCAGTGAAGGGAGGAAGAGAGAAGAGAGAAAAGGTGGAGAGATAACGTAAGTGACTGTTTAAATGGCTGTTTGAGAATTGGGTTTGTATGGATGCGTGTGAATGGGGAGATAATTTAAATGCATGGGTACATGTGAATGGGGAGGTGTACGCAGTTTTGTTCCCAATATGCAGTCCCTGGAAGTTTACCCAAGACTCTTGCAGAAAGATTCCCCAATCTTGACAAAGAGGAACAATCCAGTTCTTGAACAGAATATTCTATTATTGGATAAAAGAACTTCAAACAGGAAATTCTAGTATGAAACTACTTATCAAGAAATTTGATTCTATCACTGTGGCCTGAATACAGAACAGGTTCTTATTCCAATATAGGTGTTAATTAGCTAACCAATGCTACGATGTTTACGGTATCATCAACACTGCTCTGGGAAAGGTCACTGTAATTATTTTACATGCATTTAAACTTTAACACAATTGTCAGACTGTTTTATTGCATTTTATTTCCTTCTAACCTAGTTTACACTCTGTCTCTCCCCAAACCATGAGTAAAAACATTCCATATGTCTGATGAAGTGCATGAAAATTTATACCATAATAAATATACTAATCTTTAAGGGGCCACAAAACTTGGCTGTTGTTTTGCTGAAGCAGATTAATGAATGCTGAAAAGGGATACTTGATTAATAAATCACTCTCCTTATGATTATAGTCAGATCGATCTCCATGGTTGCTAAATTTAAAAAAAGCACACTGCAGTAGACTATATATACTTACTTTAATGTCTGTGCAGCCAAATTTAAGGCATTATATAAAGATGGCTCTCCTAGACAAGACATATCTACAGCTTTTTTCAAAGCAGCTGTGTGTTTTCTCGGATTCCCTATGAGGAAAATCACTCATTATCAAACATCAGAAAATATCTGAATTAAAAAACAAAAAACAAATATTCTGACATAAAACACTGCTTTATTAGCAGGAAGGAAGGAAAATACAAAGGAAGTAAACTGACACACATTCATGCAATATCAACCCATTGTCTGGCATTATAGCTGAACCAAGACTACAGGTATACCAACAATGCTCATCAAGTCTCCAGGCACCCCAAGACCACCTTTCATTATCACATGAAAGCTCAAAACAAGTATTTTTCATGCACTCCTTCTCCTTTGCCCCAAGAGGGTCCTCTAACCATCCAATCAACTAGTTTCCCTCATTCAAGCCCTGCTTCATCTTTGTCCAGTGCCCATTATGCCTAAGACATGGGGCCTGCAATAAAATGCTGCAATCTAGAGCAGCCTTTGTCAACCTTGGGAACCCAGATGTTGTTGGACTACAACTCCCATCATCCCTGACCACTAGTCCCGCTAGCTAGGGATGATGGGATTTGTAGTCCAACAAAATTGAAGGACCCAAGGCTGATAAAGTCTGGTCTAGAGTGATAAGAGTGATCCTGTTCACAGCTCCAGTCAGCCAGTCAGTCAAACCATCCCCTTCTCCAGAAAACCATTTCATTTCCTCCACCCCATTTTCTATTCCAACTGATTGTCAACATTCTGGGACTGAGAATGCTTAATCTTCATTGCACTGGTTTCTTTTGGGGGGGTGTACATATACACAACTAAAACGCTGGTTCAATGCTTTATTTAAAATTTTAGAAATTAAAAGCTTGCTTTGGGGACATGTCACATGTGGCAGCCAATCAGCACTGGGCACATCTGGCTGCTGAATCAAATTTGCAAAACCAAACCTGTCACCGTCCCCACCACATACATACACTTAAGGTCAATACCATCCTGGAGAAAACTTTATTTAAACAGCAAACAATGAATGAATTTACAGAGTTGCCCTCAAGTAAAGTTTCATTTGTACATAGTCTAAGGTAGAAACATTATAGGGAACATTCTCTTTAAACTTGCTACTTCCCTCCAGCAACTATCCTTAAATTTCCAGTGTATTTTTAAAGTTCACACTGGGTCAAAGTCAGTTGTCTGTATCATGATTATTATAGCAATAATGGTCGAATGAGGCAGAAATATAGAAGATATTATCTGTTTTGCTTTTTAAAAAAATGGCAAGGCCATAATAACGAATCTCTTCTCAGTATGAAAGAAATAATTTGTTCATACCTGAAAGCTCAGTAAGTTTTTCAGCTCTTTTGCCCTTAGTCACAATAATGCCAACCTGCCAGAAAGATGTCTACTATTAATAGAGTCACAGAGTAATGAAGTCTTGTTGAGCCCAACCATGTTTTCCAACGTACAGAGGTGGCAGCAGAGGGCCAAGAATCATTTGCAGAGCTTATAGTAACAAGAGTTACTTGAGATGCAAGGAGGACCAAGAGCCACCTGGCACTCCTGCAGCTTCCCATCAAAACATGTAATGAGCAACACTGCAGGGAATTCGACATGGCAGAGCTGGATAGTTTCATCTCCACCTGCCTTTGAATTATGGAAGCCATTGCTACTTCCACTTACCCCATGACATCAACAGCTGGGGATAAGTTTGACCAAGAGCTATAAATATGAAATCTGTGGGGGGGAATGTTTATGCCGTTTCTGGTAAACTATATAATTCATTCTACTATATTTACAGCTGCTTTTATTCCATAAGCGTGATGAAGAAACAGAGTTTGACACTGAAAATTTCAGAATCTCGAGAGTCTCTGCTTTATTATTATTATTATTATTAGCCACTTCCTAATTAGTTTCTGGGACACGGGTGGCGCTGTGGGTTAAACCACAGAGCCTAGGACTTGCCGATCAGAAGCTCAGCGGTTCGAATCTCCGCGACAGGGTGAGCTCCTGTTGCTTGGTCCCTGCTCCTGCCAACCTAGCAGTTTGAAAGCACGTCAAAGTGCAAGTAGATAAATAGGTACCGCTCTGGCGGGAAGGTAAACGGCGTTTCCGTGCGCTGCTCTGGTTCGCCAGAAGCGGCTTAGTCATGCTGGCCACATGACCCGGAAGCTGTACGCCGGCTCCCTCGGCCAATAAAGCAAGATGAGCGCAGCAACCCCAGAATTGGTCACGACTGGACCTAATGATCAGGGGTCCCTTTACCTTTTTATTTAGTTTCTTGCTAGCCTAGGTAGATACAAAGACAGGCTTGATGGGAGGTGATGCCTGATGAAATCAAAAGCCGAGGGAGGGAGGGGAAGGGCAAAAGGAGGGGTGGTCAGAGGCTTCATTGCACTGTGCCATTTCTTGCTCTTGCCCATAGATAACAGAAGCAAACTGAATTGTGCAAAATCATCAAATGCATGCTCATTTATATGGACCAAACCCTATTCAGGCATTATAAATCACCTTAGTATTAATCACATGGATTAGAGAGCAAAGTCCACCTACTGGCCTGACTGCCAAGTCCCCTGCTGGTGTCCAGCCCCCTTTGGCTATACATTGGAAGATGGCCTGTGATTTGGAAGCATGATCGCATAGAACTCTGAATCATGGTGGCAGCCTGTGTTCATGGAGCAGGCTCCCTTCTTCAGACATTCTCCAACGCACAGGCAGGGATGAAGATATTAACCCCCTCATTTAGAATGCCAAAATGCTTTGCGCTTTATTGACAGAAAATTGAATTATCCCAGTACAACATTTTCATTATTTAATTTTAACATAAATCATGGCTTTTATTTTGTCTTTAGACTGTTTTTAACTCACCGATATGCTAATAGTCACACTTAAGATTGCTTTTAGCTAAACATTCAAAGAGGTGATTATTTCTAATCCGCAGCAACCATCTCCAGCACAGTGTACATACCTGACTAATCGGATTTTGGTCAAAATATTCTTCAACAAAATATTCCAGTAACTACAAAAAGAGAAATATCATTAGAGCCATTAGTTCTCAAGTGTTACTTTACATTGCACAACTTTATAAACATCACAACAGTCGTTTTATACCTTGTCATCAAAAAAGACAAAAGCTCCTTGTTGTCTAAAAAGTATGCATACGGACAACTAACAAAAAACAAAGTTGTGGTTACCAATGATATTTCAAGAGTGATGTTAAGGTCCATCTAAACCTTATTTTTAGGATAGTTATTGACTTTCAGGAGGAATTTGAAAACATTCCCATTTATTTGATGGCTGAAAGACACTGTTCCTGGAAACCCTGAGATTACCAGATGAGAAAGGGAACCAAATGAAGGATAATTTATCACATTTGTTTCCTTCCCTTCAACTTTCCTTCAAGAGATTCTAGGTGATGTTTGCTGTATCTAACCACATCCAATTCATCCTCCAAACCACTCTGCAAGGTACATTATGCTTAGAAATGGGACTTGGCCCATGGTTATCCAGTGGGTTTCAGAGCTGAGCAAGAACTTGAATCTGAGTTGTCGCAATCTGACAGTTTATCTATTTTCAGTGATTTCAGTGATCTTAGAGAAATGCAAGTTATCAAGAATAAATACCTTTAGGGTACAAGTTAGCCTGGTAGGTTTTAAATCTTGGTCTTCCATTGTTCTTGATCCATCAACCACTACATACAGGTGACGCATCTACATATGGGTAAGATATTTTTAGGGAATTAAAATATATTTTAATATAATATTCATAAAATAGAGTATCAGGCCAATATGATACATACCTTTTCAAAAGTAATCTAGGATTCACAAATTATTCTAAATGCACAACATTGCAAAGGAATTGTGGGCTGTTGGCCCCTTCTTTCAGAGTTACAGAAATATCTCTGAAAACTGAAAATCTATGCGTCCTTGCTTTTGAGTGGTCCTCATTGAATCCATGGAACTTACTTCAGGGTAAATTTGCACTTCAGGCTGTTTGCTTTTCTCTTTGTGCTGGTTCTGGGTTTTTGTGTTTACTGACAGTATTATTTGCTTTTAAGCAGCACACAGCATTGAGCCAAGGAAGCCTGTCAACCTTTATCATACTATATACTTCTCACTAATCCCTGAAACCCGTATTTTCCACTAATCCTGCCCTGACATTCTCTTAGACATCCATGGGTTGTTGGTTTGTTTGTTTTTTAATGATTCAGTTCAGATACATTACACCCAACATCCAGATTGGTCAACCACCAAAGCAGAGGACTAATGATAATTATAAAAGATACAGAGGGTTATATCCAACGAAGTTGACCAGTGCAAGAATCTCCTCCCTCACCCCTACAAATAGGTTCTGAGATTCCCCCAACCCTATGAAGCAGATTTGGGGGGGGGGTATGGGGAGAGAAGAGGTAGTCCCATTCAAGTCCTTGTGCTAACAGCACAACATCATTGGATGCAACCCAGAGACCTTTTCATCTGTTGCTGTGCCCCTAAGCACATTAAACTGGTATAATTTTAAACCGTTGCTTCATGACCCATGCTTTTAAGATTCTTGTTATCCATCCTGCATCTGGTCAAGAGGAAGAATGGGGCAGAAAAATAAAAATAAAAAAAGTTTAAATCCAATTAATTTTATGTAATCAAAATACATTTTTATTTTTATGTATTAGTAGTCCAATAACATCACAAATAGGGACGCGGGTGGCGCTGTGGGTAAAAGCCTCAGCGCCTAGGGCTTGCCGATCGAAAGGTCGGCAGTTCGAATCCCCGCGGCGGGGTGCGCTCCCGTTGCTCAGTCCCAGCGCCTGCCAACCTAGCAGTTTGAAAGCACCCCCAGGTGCAAGTAGATAAATAGGGACCGCTTACTAGCGGGAAGGTAAACGGCGTTTCCGTGTGCGGCTCTGGCTCGCCAGATGCAGCTTTGTCACGCTGGCCACGTGACCCGGAAGTGTCTCCGGACAGCACTGGCCCCCGGCCTCTTGAGTGAGATGGGCGCACAACCCTAGAGTCTGTCAAGACTGGCCCGTACGGGCAGGGGTATCTTTACCTTTACCTTTAACATCACAAATAAATGCCTCAATGTAAAATTTGCACACAGCCTAAATTAATAATCAAGTAGAACTTCTCTCATGTCTTTATCATAACTGAAGAATCCAGCATTTTACTATAACATCCCAAAACCAACTCTAAAAGCTGGTAAGCTGCAGTCACAATCCCACAGTCTTTATTGAAAGCACTTAAGCAAAGCTAAGACTTGTTTAAACTTTATTTGCTTTAAATAGAATCCAACTTCCCTCAACCAAAAATCAACCAGAGCTGCCTTTTGTTTAGGTTGACTTCAGATTATCTCTGTGAACTTGGATGGCTAGAATTTCTGCTATGCAATTTGAAGTTTATTGACCTGCTTGCTTGAAGCTCAAAGGTCATATGAACATGCCTAAATAGTTCTAGTTACAGATAGGTAGCCGTGTTGGGCTGCCGTAGTCGAAACAAAATAAAAACATTCCTTCTAGTAGCACCTTAGAGACCAACTAAGTTTGTTATTGGTATGAGCTTTCGTGTGCATGCAGGTATTCTTCAGGTATCTTCTTGTTCTTATTACTGAATGACAGTGGAGCTGCCTGCCCAAAGCAAACTGCAATCTAAGAAAAAACAAGTGGCTGACTATGCTCTTATTAAGCATATGAACGAGACCTATTTCATATACAACTTCACAGCAAAATAAGTTTAGAACCAAGTAGAATAAGAGAACTTACCATCCCAAGTCGAACTTGTCCATGATGCTCAAAGATTCTGCAAAGTAAAAAAAAAAAAAGTTAATTGCTAATTGTTATAGCATTTATATATTATAGCATCAATATACACAATCTATTCTCACTTGTGAAATATAGATTATATTCAGGGAATCATATTTACTTTTTTAAAAAAAACTGGAAGTCTAGGAGCATATTTGATACAAAAGTTTTTAATTATGCTGTGAAGATGGATGTCAGAGCCACATTGTAATCTGATTGACTATAACATCATACAACCTAAGTAGAATGAAGTTAGATTTGAATTTAAACTGGAAACTTTTCACCCTTCTCCTTGTAAGACTGCAGCAAAATGCAATTTATTCTGAAGTGTCATTTATAGTGCATTCCTACATTGTGCAGCTTAGTGATTACCTTTTTCTTTTGGCCTTAAAAAGAATATCCTCTATGCTGGCTTTCAATGATCCAGATTCATCTTCTTTAAGAACTTCCCTAGAATCAACAAAAATAAAGTATAATATACTGTATATAGATAACAGAAGACTACAGTTCTTAAACAATGGAGGGGGGGAGAAATATAAAAGCTTACCAAGTTCTTTCATAACCCCCTTCCCACCGTTTGGTTCTCTCTGGTTCATCATCCATTTCTCTTCCAAGTTAAGAAACTAATAAGGAAAATTATTATACTGTAATTTAAAACTATATTTTGAGATATTATAATAGAATTTATAAATAAATAATAAATAAGTAAATAACACAACTTATGTACACAACATATGTACAAATGGCTACATCTTGTCAGGTTCAAGGTTCCTGAATAGTACATAAATCAGAGAAATCAGATGTAACTCTCAGGAGAAGCCCTTATGAAACCCCATCAGCTTTTGTGGTCTTCAAGACTCAGAGTCTACAAAGCTCCATCCAGTACCGAAAACTAGGAAAAGGAGAGGTATTTGATGGGAAATGATTTATAACATCCTGATTCTGCTGCATCAGCACACATCACTACTCTGGCTGATCCGGAGCTGGGGTCCCAGCCTGGGCAAATTTCTGGCTACAAGGAAATCAACTAGATTTATTTATTTTTAATGCTCGCTTCAAGCCTCCCTCCTCCCCCCCTTCAGCTTAGAAAGTTTTGCTGATTTTAACGAGCCTTTTCCTGCAATTGACTTAAAAGGACAGAACATACAGTAAGCACGTTTCAACCCTTACCCAAATGACTTTTTAAAAAAGAAAAGAACAAAACCAACAACATGAAAATAGCTAGGATAAAATGACACTTCCACCACCGAAAACTAAGATAGCTGCCACATATTACAACTTTAGCACCTCTAAACTCTCAAGAGCCAGACAAGTAGAACTACCCTCCTCAGCTGGTGGACAAGAACAAGGTTGGGGTTGGGACAAAAGCGTCTTGTTCCCACAAAGTCTCCTGGCTCAGGAATAGGCTAACAGCTATCAGTGGGGTCTTGGGGGGAGCTGTTCTTGCCACCTGCCTTTATCTTTCAGGAGACAGAAAAAACCGAAGAGAAGGAACCAAAAGAAGCGCGCACCCAAGAACCGAGTCGCATGCACTTCGGAGGCTCTCTAGGAAAACCATCTCTCTGGCTAAAGGTTCCACACTTTAAACATTCCGGTGGCAGCGCAAATATTGAGAAGAGGAGTTCCGCCGTGCAAAGAGCTTGTTGCAGAGAAAGATTAGAAGAAGGAAAGAGCAGGGTGACTGACATAGATTGGGGGGGGGGGGAGTATGCTTCTGCTGCTATGGGTGACGCAGCCTCAGCTTCTGGCAGCAATTAAAACCCACACTTTGCTATAATCTGCGTTGCAGCAAAAACAACAAAGCCCTGTGGGACTTTAAAGGCTGATAAAGGACTCGTGAGTCTTCAAAAGGTTATGTCATAAAGAAGTTTCTCAGTTTCTTCTTTTCACGTCCCTGCCCCCAATGTGGGGACTCTCGGACTTTTAGAAACTCTTTAAAATAATGAACGGTTCAGGTGAAATAAGACTCCACTCTTTGCTGCCCTTTTGTCTTGGAAGGGGCGCGGGAAATAAACTGGTGCAGCTGCTATGGACAGCTATTACTTCCAGAGAGACGCAGAGATGCTTCTCTTTTGCTAACGCTGCGGTTTAAGCCTACCTGTAGTGTCTACAGTGTTGCAGACCATGCCTTGTGACCTGGATAGCCTTCCTTGTCATCCAGTAGGTACTGTATTTTAGAGGCTAAAATTTAGAGGCTTGTAACTTTGGGACGCATCTCAGAGTGGGAAAGTTCTCCTTCTAATCACACAGACTTTATTCCCCCTCTGAGCTTCACCAGTTCCAGGGCTTAGCATACCCTCCAACATTTCTCTGATGAAAATAGGAATGTCCCATTCCATAATGATAATTATACTATTTATACCCGACACATCTTATTGGGTTTCCCCAGGCACTCTGGGCAGCTTCCAACATATATATAAAAACATAAGAAAACATTAAACATTAAATATATTTTTTTTTTAAAAAAACCCATCCCTATACAGGATTGCCTTCAGATGGCTCGTGAGTCTGATAACTCCATACTCTCCAACATTTCTCCAATGAAATAGGGACAGCCTAAGGAAAAGTAGAACATTCCAGTATCAAATCAAAAACCTGGATGGCTTCTCTAAATCAAGCACATCCCTGGAAAATAGGGACATTGGGGTCTGCTTTAGCAGAGCATGTAGAAATCACAGGTTCAACTCAGCATCTCCAGGTAGAGCTGCCTGAAAACCTGTGGAGCTGCTCCCAGTCAGACTAAGCTGAGCTTAATGGACCACTGATTCAAGGCAGCTTCCAATGTTCCACTGGCCAGCTGGTTCAGAACTATGCATCGCTTAAAGCAGGTGTGGGGAACCTTTGAGCCAGTTTCTCTTTAAGTCAAGAGGGGGCCCTTTGGACCGCTGGATGTTGCTGAACTACAACTCCCATCATCCATTGACACTGGCAGTGCTTGCTAGAGCTGATGGAAGTTGTGGTTCAGCAACATTTGGAGCCGCAACTGTTCCTCCCTCCTAAAAAAAAACTGGTACAAATTAAGCCTTACATTAATTAAGTATACTTAATCAAGTATATATCTGATCAGCTCCCTTCTCTACTCCAATTTATTGATAGTCTGTTTTTAAAAACTTAAATCTCGTCTAGTTTTCAGAATAAATTCAAGGCGGCTAATAATAAAAATCAGTTAAAATATAAAACCATTCACAATTCAACCAAATTATAAATCAAAATATTAGCATCTCCAGCTTCCATCAACAGAAATCCCAAATGTGCCTTTCCTAATCATTTTGGACTTTCCTGAAACGCATTACACCGTCAGAGACTGGCATCACCTTTTCCCAAAAAAGGTGTTGCTAGCTTTCAGTTTCCCAAGGACAAGAGAGTCACTAATCACAGGTGAACAGACTCTGTAACAGAGCATTGCTTTAACAAATAAGAGATAGGGGGGATTCTCACTTTTACTCTTTTTATTGTTAAAAAAAATGTTCTGTTTTAAATTAATAAAACAAGATGGCTCAAACATGGTATAAGCCTATCATCAACAATAAGTTTATTGTGCTAGCCAAAGGCCATGACATTTCATAACAGTTTACTGAACTACAAGCAAAAAATATCCTGGTTCATATAAATATAATTAATTGATCCATTTTCTTTCTTTTTGTCCCAATCAAACATTAAAGAAGGCAGGCAGTAACTGCCCCCCCCAAATTTTTTTTATTATATCTGCTTTTTTCCTGCATTGTAGTTTCTTGCTTATTATCTCATTCCGGAATTCAGTGTCAAAACATATATTTGGCGACGTCGCGTCGCGCGTCGGACGTCGTTTGCCGACGCCGCCGGTCCGCGCATGCGCGGAAGCGGAGCCTAGTCCTCCGGGTCGCCGCCGCCGCGTTCGGACGCGAAATGGAGCTGTCGGCGGCCTGGAGCGCGCTGAGCACCGGCTTGGTGCCGCCCGAAGCCCTGGGGATGGAGGCGCCGCCGCGCTACGACTCCCCCCCCGACCTGCGCCCGGCCTGGGCCGCCCTCCGCCACCACGGCCTGCAGGGCGCCCTGGAAGACTGGTTCCTCGAGGTCCTCCAGACGGACCTCCAGTCCCGCCTGGGCCCCGAGTTTTGGAGGCGCGCGGCGCCCGGTGAACTGCAGCCTGCCCATTCCCTGCTGGAGGCCTTCCGCTGGCTGGAGGAGCGCCTGGCGCCCTACCTGCGTGGCGCCGCCCTGCTGGAGGAGTGGGTGCCCGAGGCGGTGCCTGGCACCGGCACCACTGGGCGCCTGCGCGGGAACCTCGATGCCCTGCTGCGCGCCGTGGTTTTCCTGGCGCCGCCGGGGGCGTTTCAGGAGGCGCTGGGCGACCTCTACGGGCGCAGCTTCCGGGTCTACATGGCGGGAAACGTAGCGCCTGCGGGCAGCGGTGAGGAGGAGGGAACCGTAGCACGCTTTGAGGAGCTGAATGGCGTCCTGCACCGCCTCCGCCTCCTCGAGCGAATCAGCACGCCCGCTGTGACCGACATCCTACACCGCATGATCGCCGAGCGCCTGGAGGGCACCTGCCGGGGCGAGTTTGAGCGCTCCTTCCTCCCCGACTTCCAGGAATGGCTCGAGCGCGTGATTGGCTGGGTCGGCTGGGTCTTCCGGCGGGAGGGCGGGGCCGAGGCCGCCCCCCTGCGGCGCTGGCGCTGCCACGTCCAGAGGTTCTTCTACCGCCTCTACACCGCCATGAGGATCGAGGAGCTCTTTGGCATCATCCGAGATTTCCCCGACTCCAAGCCAGCCATAGAGGACCTCAAGTTCTGCCTAGAGAGGACCAACCAGCGCCAGCACCTCCTGACCTCCCTGAAAAGCGCCCTGGAGATGCGACTCCTCCATCCTGGGGTCAACACCTCGGACATCATCACCCTCTACATCTGCGCCATCAAGGCCCTGCGCCAGCTGGACCCCTCGATGGTCATCCTGCAGGTGGCTGGGGAGCCCATCCGCAAGTACCTGAGGACCCGCGAGGACACCGTGCGGCAGATCGTGGCCGGCCTGACGGGCGAAGGATCGGGCGACCTGGCGCACGAGCTCTCCCGAGCGGATCCCGTCGCCCTGGACAACGGGCAGGAGAGCGACGAGGAGGCTGGCGCCCAGCCAGAGGACTGGGTGCCCGACCCGGTCGACGCCCACCCAGCCGGAAAGCTCGCCGCCAAGCGCCGCTCGGCGGACATCATCACCCTGCTGGTCAGCATCTACGGCAGCAAGGACCTCTTCATCAACGAATACCGCACCCTGCTGGCCGACCGCCTGCTCCACCAGCTGAACTACAGCGCCGAGAGGGAAATCCGCAACGTCGAGCTGCTCAAGCTGCGCTTTGGGGAAACCCAGATGCTCTACTGCGAGGTGATGCTGAAGGACATGGCCGACTCGCGCCGGATCAACGCCCACATCCGGGATGAGGAGCAGAAGCTTCCGGAAGGCCAGAGGCCCCCCTTCCGGCTGGCGGCCGCCATCATTTCCAGCGAGTTTTGGCCGCCCCTCAAGGAGGAGAAGCTGGAGCTGCCGGCCGAGATCAAGGCCGCCATGGAGGACTATGCCCGGAAGTACGAGAAGCTCAAGGCCATGCGGACTCTGAGCTGGAAGCACCATTTGGGGGCGGTCTGCCTGGAGGTGGAGCTCGCCGATAGGACGCTCTCCCTGTCCGTCACGCCAGCCCAGGCGGCCATCATTCTCCACTTCCAGGACAAGGGCACCTGGACCCTGGAGGAGCTGAGCGCGGCCCTCCACTGCCCCCCGGCCCTCCTGCGCCGCAAGCTGGCCCTCTGGCTCCAGCAGGGGGTGCTGCGCGAAGAGGCGCCTGGCACCTTCGCGGTGGTGGAGGAGGCGCCCAAGGAGGCGCCCGAGAAGGTGGTGCTGGTGGAGAGCGACGAGGAGGGCGACTCCGCCATGGCCTCCCAGGCTGACCAGAAGGAGGGGGAGCTCCAGGTTTTCTGGACCTACATCCAGGCCATGCTGACCAACCTGGAGAGCCTGCCCCTCGAGCGGATCCACAGCATGCTGAAGATCTTCGTCATGACGGGTCCCATGGTCAGTGAGATCGACTTGCGGGAGCTCCAGATCTTCCTCCAGAAGAAGGTCCAGGACGAGCAGCTGGTCTATTGCGGCGGCGTCTACCGCCTGCCCAAGGCCGGGAACTGAAGCGACGGGTGCGAGAGATCCACTGGGTGCCGTCCGTTTGGGGACGCTACGGTTCCCATGCAATAAAGCTATTTGTTTGGAACAAAGCACCTGGTTTTTTCCCCCGAGAACCGAAGCGCTGGGTGTGAGAGATCCGCTGGGTGCGAGAGATCCACCGGGCGCCATCCGTTTGGGGGCGCTACAGTTCCCACACAATAAAGATATTGGTTTGCAAGCAAAGTGCCTGGGTTTTTCCCCTAAGGCCAGGAACTGAAGCGCCAGGTGTGAGAGATCCACTGGGTGCGCCCCACAAGCTCGGGGACAGCGGGGAGGCGGAGCGCCGCCTTCCCGCTGTTCCCCGACCTGGTTTGGAGGCTGGCGGTGGGGGAAAGCAGCACTTCTCCCCACCGCCAGCCCCACAAGCTCGGGGGACAGCGGGGAGGCGGCGCTCCGCCTTCCTGCTGTTCCCCGACCTGGTTTGGAGGCTGGCGGTGGGGAAAGCAGCGCTCCCCCCCCCCCCGCCAGCCCCAAAGAGCAGGTTGAAAGGAACCCAAAGCCTCCAGAGCCCAGCGGGAACTCCTGCTGGGCTCTGGAGGCTTCGGGTGAACGCACAGAACACACCTTGTTTTAGAGGGGGAGAACAAGGGGGGGGATTTTTTTCCTGTTCTCCCCCTCCTATGGTCCGTGTGTCCTATGGTCTGGTGCGTCCCAATAGAGCGAAAAATACAGTATTTGGCACAAAACATATCTGGGCACAAAAAGGCTTTCCTCCGTCTCTCTCTGGAGACTGCAGTTCTTTGTTGAATGACTAAATACAATGTGGACAAATATCACATTCATCACCATAAGATGTCAAAAAAACCAACCCCCATATGTGCTCATAACTTTCAAGTAGAAACCTGCCAAGTGAGAGTGCATTTCCCGATACCTTCAGTTGCCCAACAGCTGAACATGTCTACTTGCATATCCAAACAAAATGTTTCACTATGTCACATGACAGAAACCCACAATCATAACATGAAGATCAATAGTCATGTTCTCAAGGGAAAAATGGATACACGCAAGCCTGTTCTAAAACAAAGTAAGGAAGGAAGTAAAACCAGGTAGTTTTTAGTTCCTTTTTAAAATAGTAAGACTTCAAAAGACAGCTCTGTGACCAAATTATAAACACTTTGGTTGTTAAAACATTAGCATCTGTGGCAATTTTAGTCTAGTTTTTATGAACAGAATAATTTCAAAGGTCACCCAGTCAGCCCATGTTAGCTGGTTAAAAAGAGGTATAACAGCCCAGGACCCATCAAGCAGTTCTTGATTTGTATTTTGAGAAAGTTAAACTATTTTAATAATTTATGTGGTTTTATAGACTCTAGATGTTTTTGACTGCTGTTTAAATTATATTTCATGGAAATTTTACATTATTTACTTTTAGATCTTTAAAATAAATAAATAGCCCTCTTATACTTAAGGTTTTAGGTTTTGGGCTCTGGATATCACACACACAAATCAGACTATCCAATTAATTATATCTGATTATTATTTTTTAAAAAACTACAAAAATTGCCTAATATTGCTACAATATGGAAACACTCATTTTTCAATATAAAATGTCAAGTTTGAAACATGTCAACCTCCACCTGATTCTTCTGTAGAAATTAGGAAATACTGCAGTTGGAAGTTTTGGGGAACCATCCAGTAAGCTTGCTGCTGCTTCCATTCATTTCAACATTCACTGTGACCCATTTGAAATATCATTTGTTTTCCTTCAGAACACCTGGCTATAATCTGTTGTTCCAAAAAGGTTTAGTTTTAATAGAGGACTAAGTACACACTATAAAACTCTTATCATTTAAATTACATTCACATAAAACATTTTATTTCAACAACAATGTGCTGGGTGAAGGTATTTAGTTAGAACTAGCGCTGTGATGTAAACCACTGAGCCTTGGGCTTGCCGATTGGAAGGTTGGCGGTTCAAATCCCCGTGACGGAGTAAGCTCCCGTTGCTCAGTCCCAGCTCCTGGGCTTAACTGTCAGGGGTCCTTTACCTTTTTTTAAGGCTTGGAAATATTTTCCCTATATTAATTAATAGCTGATAATTTACATTTTCTCAACAACATTTATTTGCATGCATGGTATTACCCTTATGGTTGTTATGTGCAATTAAAATGTGTGGTGTTTGTTTTAAGATTAACACCCTGCAGTTTATTTATTTTGAAAAATTATATCCATCTTTTCACCATCTCGTTCTCAAAGCAGCGTACAATGAAAAAACCACAAAATTTCCAAAATAAAAACATAATTAAACTGCAAAAAAATTAAACCTCAGAAATATAAATATCCAACATCTGAACAAGAAAATGAGAATGTTTTAGGAACAGGGGTCGGCAAGGTTTACATTGCCTGGTCTGGTTTACTCCAGCAGAGATCCCTCTGTTGGCCAGATCAAGCTCATTCGTGAGCACACACAGCCGCAATTTCTGGTGTCTCCGTCTGCACAGATGCAATTTTCGGCATCTGAGCATGTGCGGACGCGATTTCCGGCACCGCGGAAGCGAGTCCCTGCGCCACGCTGTGCCGTTTTAGCACAGTGTGTGGGGACTCGCCGAGCGGGCAGCTCGGTTCGGGGGTGGCTCGTGGGCCGGTTAAATGGCCTATGGGCCTTAGGTTGCCTACCCCTGTTTTAGAACATTGGAGAAGCATCCATGATGCAAAGGCCTCCTGGAATAAGATGGCTTTAACCAGGCACCTGAAACTAAACAGAGACAGTGCCTGTCATAATATGTTTGTTTGCATAGTTTTGATACTGAGCACTGCTTCAGATTCTGCAGATACCATATTCCTCCCTGCAAAGACAAGGAACGTTTTGCATCATCATTTATTATGACACAATTGGAACTGACGAATGTTAAATCAAAACTGATGGAATATTTCAGTGCAATTCCTGACTCCACACCCTTACCCTCCTTCTCTCGATTCAGCATGAAACTGGGTGAGAACTGCATGTGTTACCTCTTTTCTCCTAATTGAAATCCTTCTCACAGGAGAGGCCAGACCAAATATTTCCATATTCTTAGTACAATTTGTAACACAAAATGTGTTTTAAGTAAAGATTATAAATGAAGGTGACCGTGTAAGAGCTTAAAGAAGTGTATTATCATAATTGTTTCCTCTTAGGCACAAAGGAAGCTGCTTGATACCAAATAAAGTCCAATGGTCATCTAGTTCAGTATTGTCTGAGCTAGACAATACTGAAAGACAATGTTAAACAATGGAGAAGGGTGTCATGAATGAGCCAGCCCCCAGGGAAGGTTTGCAGCCACTCCCAGAGAATAGTTGCTGACATTTGAAGGAAGCAGTCAGGAACAGAGAGGGTTAACTGCCATGCACCCACCCCTTGGAATGCCGCTGAGAGCAAGCTAGAACACAGTCACAGCTCACTGGAAGCACAAATAGGTGAGAAAGAGTTAAGAGACAGCCTCTCAGAGACTGGGGAAGAGGAGGGAGCTGACCCCCTCCATGAATGGGAGGGCTGCAATATAGGAAGTGGAACAAAAGACGTACAAAGTGAAAGTTCAGTTGCTTCTGGTCTCGCTGGAAGCAGTTTTCAGAAGGGTCATCATGATTGATGATGGTGGAAGCTGTGTTAGAGCCGTCTAGTTATCTGTTTGTTTTGACAATAAATCATCCTTTTTAATTAACTACTCTCACTGTGCTATCAAGCCAAGGACTGGACTCCTGACACAAGGGTTGCATACCCTCCAACATGTCTCCAACGAAAATAGGGACGTCCTGTTCCATATGTTGTGATGATGTAAACATTTGAATTGATGGAGCTGCAGCACAATCATTAATGAAGCTGAAGTGCAATAATCATAAACAGTTTTTGCTGTTGCTTCATTGAACATCCACATTACAAAATGTCCAGTGTATTTTGGGTCAAAGATAATTAATGCTGATTAAGAGAATGTAGGCTTTGCCTCTATTTTCTCTCACCACCTTCTTTTAGTATCTTGAACCTCTTTGTCTGAGGAGGAAATGTGGCTGTGCTTCACGTCATGATTGATATAGGACAACCAAGGATGCCAGGCCATCCTCTCTCAACTAGGTCATTCTTTCTAAAGTCTGTTTTGAAAGAGCTTGTATACTCAGCTTCTCCACCTCGCCAGGAAAACACACACCTGACTCCACGGGTCTGTTTTCTGGGCAGTTGGCAGGATGCTGTGTGGGCTGAAGTCAGCAATAATGGAAGCCCATATAAAACCGCCCTGCCAAGACCAGTCTAGTGGCACAAATACTTAAGGGGTGCCTACAGGCTTGTCTGTTCTCCAGCAACTGGCAGAAATACATTTCCCCTGAACTTGAAGGGTCAACTAAGATATCATGGTCAATTACCCTTCATTGCCCTGTCCTCTGGATTAACTCAATCCCATTTTAGAGAAAGCTTTGACTCGAGGGTTAACTGTTCCTGAAAAGACTCTCAACATTCAAGAAATAGCTGCAAAGCCTCAGTAACCACTCCCATATTGACACTACAAAAAGGCCCGGCCTCAGCTATCAAGTTTTCAGAGGATCATAAAAACATACAAGAACAAAACAACTATATAAAACACAGTAGAGTGATTAAAACCAGCTACTCAACATGCTGGGAAGCCAGTGCAAATAAAATAGTCTTCCCCTGGTGGTGAAAATGACACAGAGATTATTTTACTCCAGAGAATAGTATTTTCCATAAGAGGTGCCACCATTGCAAAGGTGCCCTCTCTGGTCACCATCTGCCTTCAGTGGAGAAAAACCTCAAATAATGATTTCAAATGGTGAATTCAACTCAGGTAGGCTCACGTGGAAGAAGGCACTTCTTTATAAGACTCAGGTCCCAGGTTGTTCAAGGTTAGTTCCAATGGCCTGTGGCGTTGTTTAGAGTGACAAGATATAGCCAGTTTCGGTTAGAACTTAACAGCTGTTTTGGACTAATTAAAGTACAGTATCTGACAGGAGTGCCTGGCGTGCTCTGGTCCATGGGGTCACGAAGAGTCGGACATGACTAAACAACATCATCATCTGACAACACAGTCTCCTGTGGAATTCATTGCAGGCCGTAGTCTAACCTGGAGGTTACCAGAGCATGAATCACTAGGACCAGACTCTCTCTTCTCATGAGGGGAGTCACAGCTGGCAAACCATCTGAAGTTGTTGAAAGATGCTTCATATCAACCACAGAAGGCATTCAAGTCTCCACTGACAATGCCGGGTCTCGCAGCAACCACAAATTTCACAGCTGATCCATCATAAGTGATACCCAAACCAGAATGGTTTGGATACCTCTCTCTATCTTATCAGAACTGAGCTTCAATGTATCAATCCTCATCCAGTCAATTTTTAATCCAAAATGCTGGTTCAGTAAGGCTACAGCCTCAGCTGAATGAGATGAAAAGAAATGGAGCTGGATGGCACAAACATACTGATAGCTCCAAATCTTCAGACAACCTCATTCAACAGCTTAACTGAGATACAAGTATAAAACCTGTACTAAAGGCTGGTGGAATTTCAAAGTTTGATTTTGCTGGTGCTTTCTTCAAAGGAATGATGAGACATGTTTCTTTTGACCAACCACGGATGCTGTGAGCCTGTCAACTTGATACAGGTGCATGTTGGGAATTGTAGGTTTGTTTGCAATCTTGCCTGAGACATGTATTTTTTTGTTTTGTTTTAAGCAAGAAGTTGCTTCCTGTTATGAACTGGGCAGAGGGGACTGGGTTAATCCCATTTATGCAAACTGTTCAGAAGCAGAAGAAGAGTTTGGATTTGATATCCCGCCTTTCACTCCCCTTCAGGAGTCTCAAAGTGGCTAACATTCTCCTTTCCCTTCCTCCCCCACAACAAACACTCTGTGAGGTGAGTGGGGCTGAGAGACTTCAGAGAAGTGTGACTGGCCCAAGGTCACCCAGCAGCTGCATGTGGAGGAGCGAAGACGCGAACCCGGTTCCCCAGATTGCGAGTCTACCGCTCTTAACCACTACACCACACTGGGTGGTGATTGTTGTTGTTGTTTAGTCGTGTCCAACTCTTCATGACCCCATGGACCAGAGCATGTGTAGTGATTACAAAACTTTATGGTTGTCAATACTGTGGTGATGGTAGGATGTACTCTTTCTATGAAGTCAGTCTGCTGTGGAATCCTTACCGGCAAGACTGGTGCACTCTGTACATGCTTGCGCCATTTATTTCTGAAGCATTCACAGCAGATAGCCACATAGTGCAATCTTGTACATATGTATCAAGGAGCAATCCCCATTAAGTGTAGTTTACTTCTGAGTAATGTGGTTATTGTTGCATGAACCCACACTAGAAACTGTGATAGCATAAATTCCTTCAGAGCAAAGGTAGCACATATCTAAGTATTTATGCAGCTGTAGTGTTTAAGTGCCTACTGTTTCTTTGCAAAAGAGAAGGCGGAAATCAGAACAGGTGGAGGGCACATTTTTTCCCTCTCAACAAAAAAGTGACTGTGGCAGCAGGGGCCCCTTCTGAACCAAAGACTTTGGGCTTCATTAGGGGCTAAGTATTTGTATAATTGAAATGCTTAAGTGTCCATTATCTTTGCAAGGAGGACAGAAAGAACCTGAACATGACCTCTGGTTGTCAAGCAGCCCCACCAGGTCCAATATTCAACAACCAGAACTAAGACAGGGTATTTTCAGTATGTCTTAAATTGTGAAAATAATTTTCAGTATTGTCTGGATGGTACTTGACCTCCCCACTCCCACACATGAGAGTACAGATCAGGGCTTACATTGGAAGGCTATAGTAGTATTTTCATATGTGGCAGAGATTTCATAATGTAAAAAAATATTGTTCTAAAATTATTAGTAATAAGTACTTTATCTGATTGCTAGACTCCTAAGATATGTCACAAAGACTGGTTGAACAGGTTGCAGAGCATAGCCATAATGGAAAATGCTACATGCTTTATTAAAACAATAACTGACCAGCTGTTCATTATTATTTTTTAGAATGCTCATTTTATTTTGGAGACATCATGGGCATAATTTACAATGAGACCCACTGGACTCTGATCTGAAACTAGATCTGACACAGACCCACATATGGTAATTAGCATCATTCAAGGATAGCTGGAGTTTCATTAAACTATTGCTGCTCATGGAAACTTTTCTGGGCACCCATTCTTACAGTTCATATACAATGTGTATCGCTATGCGTGTTTAAAGGAAAGCTACATTTTATTGCTTCACCCACAGCCATGTCCTGTTAAATGCTGTGTATGAGCTTGCCCCTCTCAACCATTAAAAACCACCAGTTGAACTATCCCTTTGGGAATGGTGTGCACTAGTTGCCAGGCAGAGATGAGGTGCAATGGCCCTTTGCTTAAATCCATGCTCTGCTCCCATAAGGCATGACCCTAGGTTCTTAACACAATAGGATATTCTGTTGTTGCTCTATAGAAAGGCTCCTGTGACACCTTTAGACTAACACACCTATTTGTAGCACAAGCTTTTGTGGATTAATAGTCCACTTCATCATGTGCATCCAATGACATACTTTGCTCCATGAAAGCTTAAGCTACAATAGATCTGTTAGTCTTAAGGAAGCACATACCTCTTCTTAATTTAATTTCTGCCACAATAGATTAACACAGCTGCCACTTGAAGTTCATACATAGTTCATGAACCCCCCCCCCAAAAAAAACCCCTTAGAAATGGAGCATGCAATGAAGGTTGGGAATTAGTATTAAGCACATTATTTTATTGACACCATATAACAAAAAATACAAATCAGCCATTACGTACACAGTTATGTTCCAATTAAGACAAATTAAAAGCACACTTTCCATTCTTTTGCCAAATTCAAGGAATTTGTTTTTCTTTATTCAGTCCATTAAAATCCTTATGAACATTGTCCGTTATCTAGAGCAGGCACAGGCAAACTCGGCCCTCCAGAAGTTTTGGGACTTCAACTCCCACCCTCCCTGACCACTAGTCCTGTTAGCTAGGGGTGATAGGAGTTGTAGTCCCAAAACATCTGGAGGGCCGAGTTTGCCTATTCCTGATCTAGAGTCTTGGATGTATAGGGGGTGCTTTCAGGCAAATATACTTTCCCCAAAAGCAGTGCAAGCCAGAGCTGCAGAATGGCAGACTACAACTGTGGCCTTTTCTGAACAAGGAACTGCCATTTTTAATTATCATGGAATGCATGAAGATTAGACAGCATCTATACTCCACTAGCAAACATGGATAATATTGTGCTGTTATTCACAATGCAACTACAGTAGACTCGCAAGTTGCTCAGGGGTTACATTTATAAAGCCAATTTAGCATATAGTCAGAACAATCCCTGAACCAATACTGGCATCATCACCCCTCCCCTTCTTCTGAAGCTGGTGTGCCGAGTGGGCCTTGTCCCCCATGTGAGGCACAGAGCTTTTAAGCCTTGCTTAGCAAGCTCTGGGGTCTCACAAAGTCCCAACAAGATCTTGAGGCGGCCTCCAGAACCCTTGTGACAGTCTTCCAAAGCCCAGTAAGCAAATCTGAGAGCCTAACAGCTCTCTGCCTTGTGTGCATTTAATTTGTGTGATGTCAGTTGACCGGCTGCCGGGCACATAAAGCTGTATTCACACAAGTTAAATGCACGCAGGGTGTGAGTCTGCCGTGTTTAAAACTGAGCTACGGTAACTGTAGCAAAGAAATAAGTAAATAAGTCTGCCCACAAGAAAAATGCAAAAATTTGTATTATCCGTTATTATGTCAAAAGTGTCACAAAACAGGAAGCATACACACCTTTTTTGTTGTATTTTGGTTTGACTAAAAAAGTGATTAACCTAGCATGAATATATCAAAATAATGTGAGAAATATGCCTCAAAAAGAAAACAACAACTAAGTGTTAAACTTTAGCCTTGATATGCCAATATAGATTAGTAGCTTAATCTCATGGAACCAATTTCCTGGTTCAGATGTCAAGTTAAACCATAGTTTAGCATAATGAGAACTTATGCAGCAAAGTCTTCATCTCAAATGCCCCCACTCGCCAGTCACCAGCACAAGTGTGAAATGGAGCTGGGAGACTTAGCCACAGCTTGTCATGTTATCTAAACTGACAAGGGGCAGTTAATGTTAACAATGGCTTGTTTGCTACTTCAGATGATGTTTCGCTTTGGGAAAAGGGGGCAATACAAATCTTGGAGAACTGAAGGCTATTGCATTTGTGCTATGGCAGACATGGAGTGTGCTAAGAACTGACCTAAGAGAGCACTGGATCGCACTAAGTATACAATTCATTTGGATTTTCACTGGGTATTCCTAAGTGACGGTGCTTTTGTTAAACATAACATTCAAAAAGGAGCACCCACATGTTTATAAAATGATCAGTTGCTACTTTGGTTTCCATTCTTCTTTGGCTATGGCAAAACTGTTTCACTGCAGAGTGGTCCGGACTTTGGCAACTTAGAAGAACCAGGCTAGCTGTAGTCAATCCTTTTTTACATACTCAGATACAACTCAAAAGTCAATCCACAGAAGATATTAAGAGTCAAAACACTGCTACTCAAAGCTACATTTGTACAATGAAAACATTCCCTACAATACAAATGGTTATTTAAAAAAAATAATAGATATATTTACATTTAGTTTCACATTGACATTGATGATACCATACAGAATGATCAACACTGGGCTGCACCTAAAAAATACAATTCTTAATATTTTGACATTTACAAGGAAAATTGGTTGCTATGTTTCGAAAACAAAATAATGAAGAAACGTACCTTTTGAAAGAAGCACCCAGACCACACTATGAATGGCATTTAGAAGGATACAATGTGGCAATAAATCTTTAAGAAAGGGAGGACTGGATTATTGGGGGGGGCACAAGATTATTTTTTGGGGGGGGGGGACATTTCTCAACTGCTTTTAAAAATAAGATGCGACATACAGAGGTGAATGGAGGATGAGTCATCGCAGACAAAGGACAGGAAGATGCCCACTACATATTAAAACGGATGAACCTGATGTGATGAGTGGTGAAATTCCTTGACTCAGTGAAACAATAAGAGGTCTCATATACTGAGTGCTCAATTTCATACTTCATAGTAAACATGGCACAAGTGTTGTTTTGGTGAAAATATCGCCCTGTCATTATCTGTGGTCCAACACAATCATGTCCCACCTTTATGAAAATTAACATATTTAAGCAACCAGGCTGTCTTTCTTTCTTCTTGTTATGACTTTCGTCTGTCATAATCACCGACCATCCTCTTGATGTGCGACAGTTTGCTCTTTAGTGCCTTGCAGTGGGCTTTGCGGTTCTTATAGTCTGCTGACTAAAACACAGAATGAAAACTATTAATAAATGAAGTAAATCAGATTTCATCTTAAAAATGCTAGAATATTATACTGTCTTATTCATTCAAAGTGATCACTATCAGAAGAGACAAATGAGCCTATTCTGAAACTCTCAATAGTTTATGAAGTCCTTAAAACAATGAATTTGCAGAATAATCACCAAGGGATATGACCTCATGTGCTTCTGTTCGAAACTGAAGGAACACGTAAGTTTGAATTTTGAATGTGTAAATGTCTAAAGACAATGCATAAAACAAGCACCCTTAGATTTACTGCTAGATAAGAGTTTAATAGTTATTGTATTTGTTTAAAAACCAATGAAAATTTGTTTAAAAGAAGAAGAAAAACCAGAAGGAACATGTATGGCAGACCAATAGCTGTACTTCTGTTTTAAAAGAGACAGAACAGTTCAAAGACAACAGTTTGAAAAGCAGGCTGTATTTAACAGGGACAGATGCAAGCCCAACCTCAGCCTTCCCTTGCTCTGCCTCTGCAACCTGAAAAGTGGTCTGAATTTTGGAATACCCATCAGGTCAGAGCCAAATTCTTAAGAGCTGGAGATGGGAGGCAGAGGATTGCTATGGCTATGGGCTTGTACCTGGACAGTATAAAGCCAAAACAGATCTTAACCTTCTGCCAAACTCTAGGGTGTGATTCATCCTCTCTCTTCCATAGCTCCAGTGTTCAGAGGAAAACTTGGTTTCATCTTGCCCAGCAGAGGCTGCCCCCTCACCTGTAGATTCAGTGACAGAATCCGTAGATCCAACTTTTCCACTGGCGGCTAAAGTGGTACTGGTGGCACAGAAACCCTTTCACCAGCTGAGGCTGGTGTGCCAACTGCACCCTCTCCTAGATATAAATCACCTGGGCCAGAGTCATCCAGGCTATGTTAACTTGGCAACTTGTTCAACAAGAACTAAGTCCCAATTGAAGTCTACATGTTCTGTGGCCAAGGTTTACTGCAACACATCTGGGACACTTCTAGCCCCATCATGTTGCACATGTGTTCAATGAGTTAGGTCCAAACTGGTGAAGAACAAAAATCAACAACTGTGGGATACTACTAGTGTTTTTGAATAAACACCACACGCTTTTTAGAAGACAAAAACAATTGCAACAGGTTTCAGGAAGCAGCCACTGAAAGTCTGCAAAAATTGACAATCCAACCGTACTTCTTTCAAAGATCTCTCCTGCTGCAACAGGAGATATCTTGGTTTACGCAGAGATTACTTAAGTAAACTACTTACTGCCTTTATATCCTTCAGTCGGTTGTATTCTTCAGCAGCAGACTACAAGTAAAAATAACTCAAATTAGATATCACAAACATTAGCAAAAATCAAAAGCAGAATGGAGGCAGGCTTCATTATGATGCATGTATAAATGTTTAACTATTAAACCAATATCTTTATTGGTGACAAGAACAGCTGCAGCAACATAAGGAGAGCCCGGCTGGATCAGGCCAAAGGCCCATCTTGGCCACCATTCTTTTCTCAAACAGATGTCTATGGAAAGCCTGCAAGCATAGGCATCTGTTTGAGGAATTCTCATCTACTCCGATCCTTCACAAATACAGACTGGAGACCACACACTATTTGGGAGTGGGGAAGGAGAGGTATGGTTCAGTGATAACCCACGGGCTTTGCATGCAGAATGTCCCAGGTTCAATCCCCAACACCTCCAAGTAAAGCTTGCAAAGACTAGTGTCTGAAGCCCAGGAATGGCAATACTCAAATAGGTAGACAAATGGTCTGGCTCTTTTTAATGCAGCTTCCTCGACTCCTATAACCCCCATAAGCCACCAACAATCAAAGATGACAACATTGGGATGGATGGAGTAATGGTTTGACTCAGCCTAAATAAGGAGTGGTTTCTAGGAAGCTAGCTGATAGGTTATTTTTTTGGGGGGGGGGGGATCAGAGATAGCCACAGTAGGAGTCTAGACTGATTGACCACTGACAAGGGCCAGAGTCTCTATCTTTAAGCAGTGCTAAAGAGGCTAGAAAAGGGATTGAGCAACAAACAGCAGGAAAGGAGACAGAGAAAAATATCCCATTATTTCATCAGTGTATTCACTCAAAAGCTGACTCAGATCATTCAGGGGGGGAAAGGAAGCCGCAAACATTGTGCAGTCAGACCCATAAGTCTTTCTCAGAAGTCACCAACATTAAATACTTTCCACGTTGCTAACTCCCACAACACTTGGGATTCTTGTTGGATGAAGTAGGTTAGAAAGCTCCTTTATCAAGCATGTTACTTCCTCTAAAGCTACAGGAATTTGAGCCCCAATCAGTATTAGTATTAAGGACTGCTTTCTACATTACAGTAAATTATATATCTGTCTTTTCAGGTCAAAGAGCAACATCCTTTCTTCGGAAAGGGAAAACTGCTTCCAGCTACCTAGCCTAAGGGAAGCCTACTGTTAAGAGTTGGTTTCAACAAACACTGCATTGATTATTAGGAGTTTCTTTCCTGGTTCCTTTTTAATTACAGTATCACAGACTTTAATAGCTTGTGATTTTTTTAGGGGAAACCATATGGGACTAATAATAGTTGTCCACTGGCTACTAATACTGCATTCGACATCTAAAGCCACATTTCAAAAAAAAAAAGAAGAGCCATAAAAAATACAAATTTGCCTTCACCAAAACACCACTGAGTCACTTCACCAATCTTTTGCTGTTTTCAGTGACTCTTCAAGGCAGAGCTCTTTCCTTGACCTATTGCTTAAGAGTGTTTTAAGTGGAGATGCCAAGGATGGAACACGGGTCCTTCTGCATGAGAAATATGATGTCCAATGCAATGCCCATCATCCATGCTGGGTGGGGTTGATGGGAGTTGGAATCTGACGACATCTGGAGGACTATCCCACCCTGCACAGCCTTAGCTAGACTGTAGTTCTGGGAGATGGGATGCAAGCGAATTTAGTGCATATTACAGCACATGTGCAGATGCAGACATAATTCTAATGTCCAAAATTCTCTCAAGAGGCAAAAGGTGTATGTACCACTAAAGCAACACTCAAATCGCAATATATTTCAATGAATGAAATTACCCTATATTCTTCACTGTCTTCAGGGTAGTCATCCAATTCTTTATCAAGACGAGAAATTTCTCTGCTGATTTCGTCAAGCTCTGCTTGCAACCGCTTGTATTCTTGTAGACCTGCATCAAAATCTCGCTTGTATGCTTGCCTTTGTTGATCGGATGATACAGGTGGATATTCCCTGGATGAAGAGTGATTTAAACAGCATTGTTTGAAGAAATGGAGTAGGCAGTTGCAGAGAGACTTGCTGATTTAGCATTTGTTTATAGGGAAAGGATACCTATGATGCAAATTAATCTTTCAGTTTTGTGCTTTGGTCAAAGCATGAAAATGTAGAATTTAGATCCGCATTCTTTACTAGAACTGGCAAATGCCTATAGGAGCCTTGTACAAAGATGAACCAACGCAATAATAAAGAAGTACATTTCCACACCTTTAAATGCAACTTTCTTTCAGCAAAACTTCAGTTTCTAGAAATTATTACCACTATTTTGGGGCTCCATCTTCCTTCCATGTACATATGGTTATCCAAGGAAATTTCTCTCTCTCTCTCTCTCTCTCTCTCTCTCACACACACACACACACACACACACACACACAAACACAATATGCATTCCACATACTATGTTTTTTGCACGTTTACTTAACAAGCAATGCAAGCTTTCCTTCATTATCTTGGCTGACCGCATGAGTTGCCATAGTTACACATAACACACTTGAGTTTCTAACTCAGGTTACATAAAGGGTAGTTGGAGTGCGTTTCATTTGTACCTCTTGTATTTTGAAAATTGGTTACTATACGTTTTACTTACAAAAAGGTCTGTAAAGGGACAAATCAAGAATTTCACAAACTATGTTACTATCTGTTTAGAGTGAGGCATATTTATTTAATTGCTGGTCAGTTTTTACCTATTTAAGCAGTGATCCAAGAACTTTTAACCAACTGAATCATATCACTGAAACACAGGAAGAGCCATTTCTGAAATCTTACATTCTTGTGATCAGATTCTAAAAACAGAGACCTTCCAAGTATGCATACAAGCAGCAGCTCAGGATGAGTCAGTTTCAGCAGACAGTTTTCAGAGGCTAATAATGTTCCAAAATATGACATCTGCCTGCACCTCCCTTCATTTTCCTGCTCTGCCCTAACATACAAGATTGACACCTTAATAGGTAGGTAACACACAGAAGCTACAGCAACTAATTTTTCAATCCATCACATTCATGTAAAATACTTGTATTCAAACACAGTGATGCTTCCATCAGTAGTAGGAAAGGCACTGCACTTATATTTTCCATGCTGAAATACTAGCTTTTCACTAACAAGTAGATGACATCAACTTCTGAATTTCATATCCAGTTTCCATTTATGCTAGTGGAAACCTAGAGTGTGTGTGTGTTGGTAGGAGACTGTATCCCAGTGTTCTTCACAACATACACACCCTGTTAAAGCCTCATGGTAACCTGCATCAACTTGAGTTAGAATAAGTGGGGCTCTCTGTACTGATGCTCTACAACCAGGCTGCCATTAACATGGTACCAATGCCCAAGTTTTATGGAATTGTCCATACCTGTCCCAGTCCTCCTCCAGTTCATCACAAGACTCTCCTCCAGTGGTGTAATCTGCATCATAGTTGTCGGTGTAGGTTCTCTTTGCTCTTCCTGCTCTTCCTTTTTGTGCTGGCTCCTTAGCTGACCCATTGTAACTGCTCGTGTTGGCATACTGAGGTGGCATTGGGCTCTTTGTTAAATTCACTTCAGGTATCCTGTTACAAAACAAGAACAATTCATTTCCAGTTTCATGCCAAAGCATCAATACACTGAGCAGATATTAAGAGAGACAAAATAAAGACTGCTGGTTGTCAATGCTAGGCTTCCCAATGTTAAGTTTATTTTCTTCATCACACAAAATGACGTTATTGTCTAAGAGCTGTTGTACGGAGTCAGGTGGACCAATGCAGCAGGTAACAAAGTCGGCGAAGTCATGCTAGATACTTTCTGCTCTGTAGCATAAGCTGGTATCCTTCTCTAGAAAGGTTAATCAGAGTAACCCCTGTAATTCTAAGGGCTCAGAGTTACTGTTCAGCTTTAGTAAACTAATGATTAAAATAGGAACAAAAGGGACCTACGCATTGAACTTAATGAAATAAAATGTTGGACACATTTGCTTGACTGTTCCTTAACTTTAAGTATCCCAACCTTCTGCAAGTTGTACACATTTAATCTCCCTGCCATTTACAGAAAACAGTTGACTTCAAGAATCTAAGACAAAATCATATTAATTATTGTTTCCTTTGGCACACACACAACAGTCCTCGGATCCTTCTGCAAGCAAACCTCAGTATGTGCAAGTGAAACTACCAGATATACACCCTGCCTTAGTCTCCCTCATCATCTTCGGTTTTGTCATGTCTTTTTTAATATTGAAAGCCCCTCTCAACACGGCTCACATAATATGGTTCTGACCCTCCCTGCTATAGCCATAGTTGGGGGCAGTTTTGGAGAGGGTCAGACAAATATCCATAACAAAACTTATTTTTAATTATGTAAACCACCCTGAGACTTGTGTTCAGCCATTATTGAAGGTGGTTTACATTTAACTTAGTCATTAAGTGACAAAACAAGAGTGGCACATCTTGGGTCAGGAACATTTTGGCTGACCCTGATAGCCAAAATAGTGTGGTTTCTAGGACCCTGCCTTTTGCTTTCAGTGCAATCCTGGGTATATTTATTTGAAAGTCAGTCTCATTGCATTCATTGGGTCTTACTCCTAGGTTAACAGGCATAGAGTTGCAGCTGTAGTAATTGACCTTATGCTGCGCCTCCACGGGAGGTCAGGCACAATTTCCAGCTCTATTTTGGGGAACTGGGATAAGAGAACAGGAGTTTGTTTTAGCAGGGACTAGTTGAGGTGGCTTGAGCACCAGTCAAACAGATGCCCCAAACCTTCCTCTCTAGCTGTTTGCCTGCCATGCCATGATGAGTGTTTTAGCAACATAGCCTTCCTTTCTAGCTTGAAGGTGGTGGGGAACACATCTTCTTCCATCTGCTCAAGGGTGATCCCTCCCAACTCTAAGCTACAAACAAAATTGATTGGGCTGGTAGAACACTTTCCAATGCATGGCGATAAAAATATTAGCCCCCCCCCCTCCGGTCAATTTATTTTCTGCAATTAGACCCCAGATGACCAAGGGACGTACACATTCTAGGTTAAGACATGGTTGTGAAACTTCTGAATGCCACTAATGTGACAAGCTGCCCCGCCTGCCCCCGCCCAATGAATGCAGTGTTTTTATTTCATTCAATATAGAGACTGAGAACATTATGAAATCGTCACTTGTGAGCTAAATTTGCAAGCAAGGATGGTGTTGCTGCACCTCTCAAAACATGGCCATCAACCTTTGACAACCATTCATTACAGCGCTATTTCATGTAATATGTATGCAAGGACTGTCCTTATTCCATTATGTTCATTCATAAACAGAATAACTAACAAGTTCAACTATGGCTATCTTCCAGACAAAACATAGTTCTGAAGGTACAAAGGCAAGCTGGATGAACGACATACTTTCTGATCACCAGTTCCTCTTGAACCCAATTAAAAGGTGATACATGGGGGCAAAGTAATGATAAACCACCAATACATCACCTAAGGCAGTGGCAGCCGATATGATGCGCTCCAGATATTATAGACTGCACTTCCCATTAATTCCTGGCCATTGGCCATGCTTGCTAGGGTTGATGGGAGTTCTAGTCCAAAACATCTGGAGGGCATGCTACCTGATGTAAGGAACGCTTGATGAGCAAGTGGGCAATGGAAGCCAATAATAGAAGGCAAGTCAGTTTTCTAAACAATGGAGCCAGAGAATATTACAAGAAGAGCAATCTCTTCAAGCAACCTCTACAAGCCCAGAGGATAACATGATTCTTTCAAATCACTATGCTTAACGTTCTCCCAACACACCCCTAAGTTGATATTGGCTCTTGATTAAAAGCTTTAAAAAAAATTTCTACACACCCAAGAACTTGGGAGAAGTTTTTTTTAAAAAAGGCTGTTCAGTATTTACTAGATGCATGAAGGAAGATAGGATAGTACTGCTCATTCTCTAAAAATCCCTAGAGTTAGGATTCTTAGTGCTGCTTTAATGTTTCTAGGTGTTGGCTTTATGTTATTGTTTTCATCATAAATTCCCTTACAAAATGCTGTGAAATGCAGGGTGCAACAGTGAAAGAACAATACACCCAAGGGACTAAGTCTGTAATCCTATGCCCTTATCTGACAACAAGTCCCACAGAACTCAGCGAGACTTACTTCCAGAGGACTGTAAGTGTATGTTTACTTCCTAGGTTATCAAAATGCGGATTGGTTATCCTTATCCAAATACTTATTAAACAGTGGAGGACACACATGAAAAGTAAACAACAGTGTAACCATGAAACTACGCTCTTAAAAGCACAGGGCCTGTGTTCGTTCCCTCAGGTTGTGTGAATGTGGACATTCTACATTTTATAAAATATTTGCACTTTTATTGTTAGGTCTGCATACCTTGAAAAGTATACCCACTCAGGCATCAGCCTTGCTTTTACCTCAGAATATTGAAAAGAAAAAACAAAGCTATGCACATCCCAGATGAACACTGTAACAAATAAATCCTGTATATGACAAAGTGATAAGTAGCTACGAGATGAAGATCAACAGTATGCTTTTTTCTTTTTTTTCAAACACCCTAGTCTCTTAACTCTCTGGACAGGTCAGATCCAAGAGTTATTTATTTATTGAAGTTTTCCTATCCCCTCTAGTCTGGAGCATTTCACATAAGAAAAGCTTAAAAGAATCACCTAACACATATAATAACCATAAAACCATTACATTTAAAGACAACAGAGCAGCAGTGATACATTTCTTTATCCCTTCCTTCTGGAGAATTACCGTATTTTTCGCACCATAGGACGCACTTTTTCCCTCCTAAAAAGCAAGGGAAAATGTGTGTGCGTCCTATGGAGCGAATGCAGGCTTTCGCTGAAGCCTGGAGAGTGAGAGGGGTCGGTGCGCACCGACCCCTCTCGCTCTCCAGGCTTCAGGAAGCTATCCGCTAGCCGCAGCTAGCGGAGCGCTGCATTAATCCCGAAGCTTGGGGCGCGCGGAGCTCAGCGCGCCCCAAGCTTCTGGGTGCCGGCAAGGTCTCGCTAGCCCTGGGAGAGCCCCGCGACGTTGCGTGGCTCTCCCAGGGCTAGCGAAGCGCCGCGCTAATCCCGAAGCTTGGGGCGCGCGGAGCTCAGCGCGCCCCAAGCTTCTGGGTGCCGGCAAGGTCTCGCTAGCCCTGGGAGAGCCCCGCGACGTTGCATGGCTCTCCCAGGGCTAGCGAAGCGCCGCGCTAATCCCGAAGCTTGGGGCGCGCGGAGCTTAGCGCGCCCCAAGCTTCTGGGTGCCGGCAAGGTCTCGCTAGCCCTGGGAGAGCCCCGCGACGTTGCGTGGCTCTCCCAGGGCTAGCGAAGCGCCGCGCTAATCCCGAAGCTTGGGGCTTCGGGATTAGCGCTCCGCTAGCCGTGTCTAGGCTGCGGATAGCAGCCTGCTTCCCGGAGCGCCGGGCGCCCTGAAAGCAGAGCTCCAGGCGCTTCGGGAACACATCCGCAGCGTGGGGAGCCTTGCAGGAATTCCCCACAGGGCTCCCCACGCTGCGGATAGCAGCCTGCTGCCTGGCGGGTGGGGCGCCCTGAAGCAGAGCGCCCCTCGCGCCAGGCAGACATCCGCAGAGTGGGGAGGCTTGCAGGAGTTCCCCACAGGGCTCCCCACGCTGCCGATAGCAGCCTGCTGCCTGGCGGGTGGGGCGCCCTGAAGCAGAGCGCCCCTCGCGCCAGGCATACATCCGCAGAGTGGGGAGCCTTGCAGGAGTTCCCCACGGGGCTCCCCACGCTGCGGATAGCAGCCTGCTGCCTGGCGGGTGGGGCGCCCTGAAGCAGAGCTCCCCGCCCCCCGGACAGACATCGGCCAGCCCCACAAGCTTGGGGGACAGCAGGGAGGCGCAGCGCCACTATCCCGCTGTTCCTCGACCTGGTTCGGTTTCCCTGACCTGCTTTTGGAGGGGAAATAAAGGGGAAAATTTTTTCCTTTATTTCCCCCCCAAAAAGCGTCCTATGGTCCGGTGCGTCCAATCGTGCGAAAAATACGGTAACCCTTCACCCCATCCTCAACCTAGCTACACCTATCTGCCAGCTGTTCACCTAAACTAACCCATGATCCAAACAAAGGTGTAATTCAGATCCTGGGATCACTGCCAGTGTCAGAATTTGGGCTTTCAAATTTCAGTAGGACCCTGTGTAATGCCAAAATTCAGCACCCAGTGCAGGTGAACCAGTCACACTCCCCTGAATCTGCCGCTGTTACTGCACCCCACCCCTTTCAACTGCAGGTCAGTGTTACAGTTTTGTCAACAGGAATCTTAGTAACTGATTAATGTTCCGAAAGGGGGGGGTGGCAGGAGAAAATGATATCACAACTTGCTTTGAATTGCTTAATATTGATCCTGTGTGGTCTTTCTATTGCATTGTGTCCATTCAATTAGGGGAAAAAACCAGGAACATTTATACTTACGGAGTAGCTCTGTAGCTATTGTCATTATAGATCTGTTGTACAGGAACTTCAGAAACTGAGTAACCCACAGAACTGGCCACTCGATCTGTATAGTCAGCTACAGGGGTAGGTATTGCTGGCTCCGGATTTATGTTCTTCACCTGGAAGGACATACATGTGTTAAGATAAACACGTAACACTGAACAGGACACCGTCATCTCAGAGTAGAATACTTCTCTTGGCTTTTAATTGGCTGCATTTCAGATTCTTAAATGGCACAAAATGGGTATTTAAAGAAAGGATTAGACTCCACAGTAGAGGGCTGAACCCACAATGCACCACTAAAGAATAGGTTGCCTGCCAGCTCTCTCTGCCCAAAGAGGTTATAATAAGCAACTGCACTCAAGGGAGAATTATGAAGTTTTTCAAATGCCAAAATTTCGCACCAAATGAAGCCTGCCTCAAATGTGCATGTTGAGAATAAGGCTTTGTACAGATTCACTCTGGCTCCAGTGCGCTCCCATTGCTGCTGTCTGAAACTGTGTATGCATGACATTAGCCACTATGAATATCTATCCTGTAAGGGTTTGAGAAATACTGCTGTTTAATGCCTCATACCAGCTTCCATCCAATTTACTAACTTAAACCACAGTTCAACAGATGTTGTGCGTGGGCAGGTGACAGCTTCCTGAACAGGGGTTTGGGGGGTTGCTGGGGTGGGAAAACCAAACAGGTAATGCACATTCCTGTCCCTTCTTTGGTGCATATAGCAATGTGCAAGTGAGACTTACAGAATGGGGTACACAGTGATCATGTCTTCTTAGTCTGACCCACAGGTGAAGAGATCCGAGATGAGACGCCTTTCTATAAGTTATTCTCAAGAGCCCCTCACACACGGGACTACAACCGGAACAAATGCTGAACTTGAATTCAACATCTCCCTATTATGTCTGCTCGTCAGCACAAGAATTTCTGCTTACTAGGACAAATACTATTCCCTGCCCCTTGTGTACTGTTCTGAGGTTCTCCCAGAGCTGTTTTGGGGGGAGCCCGGGTGCCCAGGGGTAGGAGATGGGGGGTGACCCATTGTTCTAGCAGGACTCGTTGTACCGGTTCCTGCTACCTCAACTGTTTACTTGAATTGGACCTATTGCAGCGACTTTTACATGCCTGTTGGAGCCTGAGAATTCCCAGTATCCCACACCAAGAACACCCGGGAGCTTCCAACTGGGGAATCCCCTTCTTGACTCATCAGGAAAATACAGGCATTTAGTCACCTTCTCTGCTGTAGAACAACAGCAGGTGATGAAATGCACACATGGTAACATTAAGGTTCATTAAAAAAAATCAATATCGCACTAAAATGAAAAACAACAAACAAACACAGCAGTCCAGGAATAACTCAGACATCAAAACATAACTGGCTAATTAAAAGCTTAAGCAAGCTTAAACACACAAACCAAATCAGCCAGTAGAAAAAGCTTTCAACCAGAGCCACAATTTCACCTGTCAGCAACAAGCTATCACCAAGGGAGCCAGGCAGCCCACTCTGGGGAATGCATTCCCCAAAAAAGGCTCAGCTCTCTACACCCTCACTGACCTCACCCAAAGCAGGCTGCCCAGAGCAGAATCCAAGTGCCTCTCCCTTGAGTGACTGGCTCTCTTATCAGCCAACTTCTCAGTTCAAAGAGCTTCCCATGAGGCGGCTCCGACCCCCAGGCATGCTGGCTGAAGGCAAGACCCAGGATATCAATCCAGAGTGATCCAGGTCAGTTTCCAGGCTGATGCATGAACAAATCACCCAGGCTCTGGAATGTTCAGCCCAAGGTGGCAGAATTTGTAAAAACAATTCTAACTATATGGCACCACGATATAAAAACAGTGTGGGTGGGGCAGCCACCCTGGCTGTGGCATCTTGCTAAATAATTCCAGTCGTGCCATTCTGAGGTGGGGCAGAAGTTACATATGGAGTGCACCACTCATATCAAGAGACACAGAACACACGTACTTCTCTTTTAAGAAATTTCTCTGCATGGATTGGAGCAGCTCTGACCACAAGAGCAGCTCTGATGGCTAAGTATTGGCGAGGAGCCTTCTTCAGCTCAAAAGCTGCATTTCCTGTTGTCTAACTTGGGGGAGGAGGGCTGCATGCCAAAAGTGGGGTGTGGCTACCCCACCCCCTGCTCACACATGCTTTTTTAAAAGAGTGCTTTTAAAATGTGTTAGAAGTTTGGGGTTTGTTACTTTAAAACAAACCCCAAACTTCTAACAACAATTAGCATGGAAAGGAAACCTTATTTCACGCCTACCTGCAAGCAGGGATTTTCTGGGATCACAGTTGGGGAATGAAGGGTTAACTCTCCTCCCAAGCTCTGCCTGGAGGGCTGGGGCGGGAGAGAAAGCCCCTTTCCTACATCACAATTAGGCTTCTGTTGTTTGGAAGTCTTTCAAGCCTAATTGCAGCACAGGGGGTCCTGGCTGGGGAAGGAAAGGTTTACAATGGCCACCCCAGGGGACAATTGTATATAAATGAAGGCTTTTTTTCAAGCCTGATAGCTGGAGGGCAGGGGTGCAGCAAGAAGGGGATGCTTATGATGCAGATGAGGAGGATCCTGGGGCTACATCTGGCTGATATACAGGCTGATATTTTCCACCCCTGAGTTACAGGGTTTTATCAAATTCATACTGGCTTCAAAGCTGCATGGGGCTGCAGTGATTTGCAGTTTTACCAATGGGGCAAAATATTCCCTGCCAGTATCTGGATACCACACTAGAAAGCACCATGATTCTAATCTCAGCATTTTGTAAAATGGTGTGCATAGACATTTGTTCTGTGAGTATACAGTCTAAACCTCCACTGCCTTGGGAGAAGAAAAGGCAAAGGAGTAAACCTTACAGAAATCCAGAGTGGAGTCCCTAAGGTGGCGCCTTGTACACCTCTTTCCAGTGACCCCTGCAGCCAAGCTGGTGCCAAATGCATAGGGAAGGATAAGTCTGATGTTATTAAGCTTTTATATTTGCTGGAATCTGCCCAGAGTGGCTATGGCAACCCAGTCAGATGGGTGAAGTACAAATAATAAAATTTGTTGTTGTTGTTGCTCCTTTGGACCAAGACCTCCATACACACTACCCAGGCTTGCACCTCAGGAAGGTCACTTCCATGCTACTAACACAGCAGTTTGCCTTCACCCCTTGAGGTGCAATCCATTGTCTCTCGAGACAGAGGGATACCAACAACAACCCCATCCAAGAGGCTGGGTGTAACTACTTTCACAAAGGAACTACTTTATTCTCAAATTCCATCTGATATTCAGTATTAGATATGGAGTGCTATGTGTCTTCACCTCACGATCTCTTTTGGGCAGAGGAAGGAGGGAGGGAAAGAGCAGTTTGACTGGTTTTTCAAACTTTACATGGATATTTGTTAAGAGTGTTTAAGGGGAAAGGTATTTCCCCCCCCCCAAAAAATGGCATTCTTCCACAGTTTGCTCTATGTAGAACTAATATGACAAAAAGCTTTTGGCTCCAAGTTCTCCAGAGGTTTAAAACTTCATACAGAGTTGCTGAAAGCCTACATCTCTTCATAGCCATAGCATAGCTTTGTCAGATATGTTTTCCAGAGCACAGAAGCAGCTACTTAAGAGGGAAAAGGAGGGGGAGAAGTACGACATTCCAGATGAAATAATTTCATCTTTCCAAAACACAAACAGTGCTGGAGGACAGCTCATACTCATTTTAATTTATACTGAATTTCTTATTCTTTCTCTCTACCTTGGACACACCGTGTTAAAGGTGATTAATGCTGTTGGTTTTTTTAAAGGCATATACAATAACAAAGCCAAAACAATGGCAATGCATAATGCAGGACACCAGAGGAAAGAAAAACAAAAACCAAGCTGGAAAAGGTGGTCTGCCTACAGTGGAAAGCCAACAGAGTACGGACTAAGCGGATTATGCTCAGCAAGGAATTCCCCATTCTGGCCATCATGACCAAGTAGACTAAGTGTGCTGGACAAAATCTGCTCCTTGTCTCTCCCCTTGTTGGGCAAAGGAGAGAGATGGGTAGAGTCACTCACTGGTCAATCACCTGATATCACAATGATGCCAGATGATGATTGTTGGGACCTCCTATGCAGGGCTTGCGAAGAGCCTTCTGCAGTCTGAATGTAAGGCGGGTGGCTCCATCATGGAGCTACAGCTCTTTCTTTACTAATGTTTCTAGGAAAGCACTATTTTCACTTATGTACCCAGTCATTGTATTCTTTTCAAACTTAATCTACTTTCCACACACCACAAACGAAAGATAGCTGTCCAATTAACACAACAACCCTTTTAAAAGGAATAACACAACAACCCTTTTAAAAGGAATAGCTCCAGTAACCATTTAACCCTGAGAACTGGATTGGAACAAATTTCATCCTATTGACTTAAGGTCAAAGGAACTCACTTATTTAGTTTAGCTGGTTTGTTGACCCAGTGTGTAAAGAATCAGTACTACATGAGAACCAAACGATTTTCCCTATGGCGGAGACTAGAAAATTTTCAACTGCCTAAATTCAGCTAAAGTGATTGCACATATTAGCATGTTAGCTGGAAGCAGGATTCTTGTGGGAACTACGGCATAAAAGGAAAGAGAATGTGCAAATCATGGTAAACAAAACTATTTCCCTAAGTTATAAGAGCTGCAGCAAGTCATCCTCTTGTTTGGCATAACTGAAATCCATGCATGACCTCTAGTTTTAAAGAGTGATGAAGAACAGGCAGATACCAGAGTATGGTGGTTCGCATTATATTTAAAAGGGCACACCTAAAATATGAAGTCTGAATGCAAACACATGTATCATCCATGATTGGCTGCAACTTCCAGTTGAGAATATGCTTGGTTGTAAACCCAAGTTTGTCTATTTACTGTGTAAAGTAAGCCTGAGGACATATATAATGGTTGTGGTAAGACACCGAGGCACTGAATAATCAACTCCGGAAGTCCTGCTGATCCCATCAATTCAATAAATATACAAGACAAACTATGGTTTAGCAATGCAGGAATTAAGCCTGTATTTACATATATGCTCACACCTCTCCCTGACACTTCCTGAGTTATGGCAAATATAGTTAGCTGTTAAATATGCAAAAGCAGGTCATGATCGGCTGCAATCCTGAAAGCAACTTATTAAGTGGAACATGGAAAAAAGGGGAGGGTGCATGCAAGCCTGAGGCTTGCTCATGCAACGCAAAACCATGGTTTGCCATTACAGAAACTGGCCCAGTATTGGTGGAGTTACTGCACATGGTACATCCTGCACAGAGGAATGTTATGCAAGTCCCGGGAAGCTTGGTACCCTCATTTCCCCTGCACGTCTAGTTTATAATTACTGCCAAAACTAGGTCAAAATCAGCATATGCCAAAGTAAAAGGTAGGTTATCGGTTTTCTGACATGTGGATGTATCCAAACACTCATCCATGTATCTCAGAAACCTAATCATGTATTTCATTTTAGGTTGATATATTGTACAATGGTAAGGGACACGGGTGGCGTTGTGGTCTAAACCACTGAGCCTCTTGGGCTTGCCGATCAGAAGGTTGGCGGTTTGAATCCCCACCACGGAGTGAGCTCCCGTTGCTCGGTCCAAGCTCCTGCCAACCTAGCAGTTTGAAATCATGCCAAACAGTGCAAGTAGATAAATAGGTACCACTCCAGCGGGAAGGTAAATGGTGTTTCCATGCACTGCTCTGGTTTCGGTGTTCCATTGTGCCAGAAGTGGCTTAGTCATGCTGGCCACATGACCTGCAAAACTGTCTGCGGACAAATGCCAGCTCCCTCGGCCTGTAAAGCAAGATGAGCGCCGCAACCCCAGAGTCATCTGCAACTGGACTTAACTGTCAGGGGTCCTTTACCTTTACCGTGGTACCTCGGATCCCGAACGCCCTGGAACTCAGACGTTTTGCCTCCTAAACGCCGCAAACCCGGAAGTGATTGTTCCGGTTTGTGAATGTTATTTCAGAACCCGAACATCTGACAGGGCTTCTATGGCTTCTGATTGGCTGCAGGAGCTTCCTGCAGCCAATGAGAAGCTGCGATTTGGTTTTCGAACGTTTTGGAAGTTGAACGGACCCCTGGAACGGATTCTGTTTGACTTCCAAGGTACGACTACATTACAAAGTGTGAAGAGGAAGACTTTAAAAACCCCCCCCCCCCGCCACAAAATGAGAGAATGCTACAACTAATTACCATTTGAAGTATGGTGATATAAAAGTGTTTTCATGTGCACTCTAAAAGCTGTGACAGCCCACCTAACCTGGCTTTACAACTTGGATATACCGAGTGCTAGATAAGCCATTGAATATACTACTCGACAACAGTAACTATGACAGGTTTTCATAGTTTTTGGAGATGGCTAACCTGTTGTCTCAGATGTTGCTGAACTCCCCTCATTCCTTTTCACTTGTAATTATGACTGCGGCTGATGTGAGTTTTACTTGAGCAATATCATTCTAGAGGACCACAAGTCAGCCATACCTGGTTAAGCATGAATGAGAGGTGTTGCTAATACGTTACTCTCTTAAGTCATGGTTGACCTTGACCATTTCCAGGACATCTAAAAGGCAATATACATCCAATCCCACTACTTTCTGCTTGATCTATTAATAACTCTGGTCAGCCACAGTCCTAGGCTGTAACAAGTTGCAGAGCTTGGAACATGCAGTATAAAAGGCTCCATGAGTATTTAGTACTTTATCTGGATAATTCTAAATTGCACACTGTGGATTTTCTGGGTGCACCTGAACAAAGTGCCATTCTAAAAAAATTTCAGTTACATGTAAGTGAACCTCAGAACTCCCCCGGCATTAAAACAGAAGAGATTTCCTCTAAAGTGTTAATGTAGTTCTTCACAAAAAGCCACCTCAAATATCAGAAGTTAGCCATAATTTTCTACTTGGGATATCTGATCTCTGGTAAAGACAAAAAGCTACAGGTACTGTATAGTTATTCACTGGGATTTGTTATTTGGCTCAGGGTTTTTTTCTTCACCCGCGCTTCCCCTGGCAGAGTGAAACATGAGTAAACAAGTTCATTAGCTAGTAAAGAACACGCCCCGAAACTGTCTCACCGAAACATTTGCTTCATATCATGTAAGGCACTATGTGAAGCAGTCAGTCCCTTTACACTGGCCTGATGGATAAAGGACAAACGAAGTCCGTGTCATGTGCAAGTCATAAAATATCAAAGTGCACAGTGAATACTGTACTCATAAAAGAGCAAGCATTAAACTGAGTCATTTTCCTAGTTAATTAAGCACCTCCAGCATAAGGAGGTGGGTTGCTTTTTATATTACAGTGCAGGTATTTTAAATGCTCAGCCTTGCATTTATAACATTTGCATCGTTATCTCAAATGTTGTACTACCACCTCTCAAATAACCTGAAGTTACATTGAAAATTCTTAGTATTTATATTCCAAAAGAGCATTTAGACTTTGTAAACAGCACCAGCAAAACACAATCCAAGGGCCAATTCTGGACTGTATATGACCTGGGATATTTTTCTCTGCCCAGAACACACCACACCCGTAGTGAACAACTCATTTAGTTGTTCATTCTGAGTGCAAACTGCAATTTTACATGCTACAAACCTATCCAGCACAAGCATTGTGCAACAAAGAGATAAAAATGGGTTGTCTTCCCTAGACTCCTATCAATAATGAACCCTGCCGCCTCAAGAAATAATGCTTAGGAGGTGGGTTTAAAAAAAACACAACTTCATATAATCACTAAACTTAATGATTCTTCAGAATTGTAGACACTAATGCACGTATATAATCTTTAATGCAGGCTCACAATTAATGAAGACAAAAATTTCAAAATAAAATATTAAAACATAACTTACCCATTCTTCTACATTGGGAGCCTCTTCATAACTTTTTACGTGGTCCCACAGGATATTCACTTTGCCATAGTAATTCATTTTACTTCGGGTTCTTGCTGCAAAGAATATTATTATGGCAAAAGCTACAACAAGGAGGAAGGCCAATACAATGGCAATAGCCTAGGAAAGGAACAGATCAATAGGAGTTTTAAAATGCAACAAATCAGAACAAAGATAAGTCTTAAATTCGACTATCTATTCCTTTCAAAACTACAAGTAACAATGAGACAGAAACACATTGGTCTTAAGCAACTTACTCTTTTAGCCATGGTTACTTAACTGCACTTAACAGAATAGTTAAAATGGTGGCCCACCTCATAAGATTGTTGCAAAAACGGATTATGACAGGACTTGGTATGCAAAGTGCATCGTAAATTACTCGGGATCTCAATGTAGGTAGAAATTCCTTACACTTATTTAGGCAAGCCATTCCTCAAACTTGATATACTCTATATCCAGAAACTCAGACTTTCATAGGATTAAGAAAGGAATAATGAAAGGTAAAGGATAATTTAGAGATACCTGCCTTTCTAACAGTCTTTTAAAAAAAGAAATGCTTAGCTCAATTAGGTGAACCTAGTGCTTAAAAATAAGGTGTCCTAGGGCAATCTCATTAACTGAGAAGTATGAATCCACACCTGCCTGTGCTTTACTGGCAAAATCCACAGTATATGAATACATGTGATCTTTTTAAAAAGTCTTTTTTGTGCTCAGGAACAGGTTCCCAATTAACAACAGCAATGCAAGAAACCAGTTGCAGATGGCATGGTGGAGCAGAGGCACTCACCCTGTCTCTCAGGAGAACAGTGGGAGGGGCAAGGTGGCAGTACCAGTGGAGCTACAGAAGTGCTCCTGCTGGTGTGTTTGCACCGTGCTAACATCGCTGCTGTCGTGCCCCTCACAATTCTTCCTCCTGGTAAGCAGCAGCGACTTGTCGGCTACTGCAAGAAGCAATTCTCAAATATTTGGGGGGAGGTCATCTGACATAAGCTCATACTTTGATTGGTTGGCTCCTGTTCTGCCAGTTCTGAACTAGCTCCCCATGATAGGGGCCCATCTTTATTTCAGCCTTCAGCCTACTTTTGTGTATCGTAGGGCAGAAAAGAAACAAAGAGCCATTTCCTTCACATTCACTTCTGCAAAATTTTCTTAATTGGAAGGCAAGGCTGAGCAGAACTTTCTTGTGAGAAGAAATGTTTTAAGATCAGGCTGTTGCCAGGGGGAGTGGGAGAGGGATTTGAGCAAAATTTTTCATGCTTAGCCTTTAACTTCCTTGGGCAGAAGCAAATAATTGCATTCTTGCAATCAAAAAAATATGACTGCAGCTCTTTAGCATCCCCATACTTTCACTTAAAATTATTTTTATTAATCCCCTTGAGATTTTTGCAAAATTCCTAGGTGGTGACCGATTGATTTTTTTAAACAAACAAACAAACAAACAAACAAATGGAGAATTGAAATTTCTCCAAGACCATTCAATATGTCTGCAGAGTTGAGTTACTGTCCATGAACATAATTGCCCAGGACAGCTAGCACAGGTTATTCAATTAAGGATCAACATAGACAAACCCATAAAAGGAACAGCTAAAAGGATTAGCAGAGTTTGTAGGCTCCAGCTGCTTCCTAACAAGTGTTTCAATAATTCAAGTAGAGCTTAAACCAGGATACATAGATCTGAACTCAAGATTTAGAGGTGCAATGCGACTCCAGTAAATAAAACCAGTCAAGCCATGTTGAAACCCTGAATCTACATAGGGTAACCCCTACTCACTAGGTCTAGGCCTCCAATTAATCATCTGAATCCTCTCTAGAGCAGTATAGACAGTATTTAAAAAGAGAAAATAATCACATTCTTGCAAAAGCTGCCCAAGGTTAGCTAAATAGCCACCAGTATAAGCTAATCAATAATAGCTCAATTACAAAACTAGTTTTAGCATTATTATTCAGCACACATTTGATTCAGGACTGAAATACAACTAGTATTTTGCATTTTGAATTTCTTAATTATCGCATCTACATACCTCCTGAGGTTCCACCACACAGTAGTGATACAAGTACTGATTCACAAAGACTCCAGTGTTTGTAGGAGAGTAAAAGGAGCTGCACATGGCATAAATCTGATTGTAGTACATCGATCCAGAAGCTTGTGCAGTTGGGTTCACTGCTAGTGTATATACAATGGCCGCAATAAATATCAAAAAGAGGAAGATGGAGCTTCCTATTATCAGGAGGAGGTAATACATCCTTGACCTGGCTATGCTAGTCTTGGTAACGCCCGTTACAAAAACCACTAATCCAGCAATAAAGCAAAAAGCTGCCATTGCAATGATGAAGCCTTTTGCTCCTCGTGGATCAATATAATTTCCTCCATAGCCATAGCCATAAGAACTTCCAAAGCCACCAAAGGAACTACCATAGCCGTAGCCAGATCCCATACCATAGCCATAGCCAGTTCCCATACCAGTTCCCAGACCAGTTCCCAGGCCAGTTCCATACATATCCATGTCCCAAGCCAACGTGGATGCAACACATGCAAAGATGCCAATGGACATCACTATTATGAGAACCGACATGATCTTGATTATTCCTGGAGGGGAGGACCATTTGTAGAAGTGTTGAACTTCCTCTTCCGGATAGTAGGAATATGCAGGCTGAGAGTACATTGGCTGAGAATGGAATTCACCACCATACGCATTATTGCTTGGTACATAGTGTGAAGGTTTGCTGCAAAAATAAAAAAACACACACGCCTTGTTATGAACCGCTATTAAAATATGAAATATTAATTTCCCTAGATACCTCTGAAAACCATTTAATTACTGTCTTTTATAACAGCATACAGCATTATTATTATTATTATTATTATTATTATTTTATTTATACCTCGCCCATCTGGCTGGGTTACCCAGCCACTCTGGGTAGCTTCCAACACACACAAAAGTAATAATAAAACATCCAACATAAATAGTAACAATCAGATCTTATATACAAAGTCACAAAAAGTTGTTTAAAATAAACTTATACCAAATAAAGTAGTATGCTATAATGCATTAGAATCCAATAGTAAACACTAAAATTAAACATCAGCAAGTAATAATTAAACTGTTTACACTTATCAATTACAATAAAGAATTACATCTGCCATGTTTGAAATACACATTATATGGTATGCATGTATTCTGTACAGCATTTCACAAACTTTGACTGGCCTTAGTAGTCAATCCAAAATTTGTTGTCCGAATCCTACCCTTGGAAGACAGGGTCTTTGTCTGACATTACACTCAATACAGTGGTACCTCGCAAGATGAATGCCTCGCAAGACAAAAAACTCGCTAGACGAAAGGGTTTTTTGAGCTGCTTCACAAGACAATTTTCCCTATGGGCTTGCTTTGCAAGGCGGAAACGTCTTGCAAGTTTGTTTCCTTTTTCTTAACACCGTTAATACAGTTGCGACTTGACTTCGAGGAGCAACTCATAAAACGCGGTGTGGTAGCCTTTTTTGAGGTTTTTTAAGACTTTGGTGATTTTTGAAGCTTTTCCAAAACTTTCCCAACACCGTGCTTCGCAAGATGAAAAAAATCGCAAGATGACAAAACTCACGGAACGAATTAATTTCGTCTTGCGAGGCACCACTGTATATGGCAAGCAAGAGACTGCACAAGGGTTAGCATCCATCTCCCATTCCAGCTGCATGTTCAAAGGACTCTGCAGAGGGTGAGTCTGACCCACTTTCTAAAACCTTACATAACTTAGTTGTGCTCAGCCGTAAGTTGCTGCTGCCTGACTAGCCAAAACTGACTGGGATGGGGTGGAGTAGGGGTTGTATGTGTGTACGCATGCACCTTGCAGTAAACAGTGGTGATGGCTCCTTGCATACTGGGCACTTTCTAAATGCTGGAAAAGGAGCAGGATGAAATGAACATCTCTGATGGGGCACAACACCATTCAGATCACCCCCAACCCTGCTTCTGAGCTTATGGGGAGTGGGCCCCTGCTGCACCTTCCTCTCCCCTCCACCCACACAGCTCTGTAGCTTTCATTTCAGTAACCTCTCCTACCTCTTGGAATCAAGCTTCCTTCTCCCTCTCCAGCACACCTCTTGGTGCTTGAGCCTCTGCCGCTGTCTGTTCCACAGAACAGGTGTTCACCATCTCCCTATAAGTGGCATGGGCTGGAGGGCAACAGGAGTTCCCATGCTGGGCACTCCATAGTGCTACAAAGTGGGGCACTTGCACACTCAGCCCTGATTAGTGCTGAGCAGAAAGAGTTGGGAGCACACAGCTGGACAGCTGCTTGCAGAAGGGTAGAGTCCTCCACATGCCATGGATGGATTTTCTGCCTGTTGGTTTTACATTTGAGCACATGTAACTGAATACAAAGTACAACAAGTGGCATTTTTCTGCCCATAATAAGACTACAAGTGGGTTGTGGGGCAGAGGAAAGAGATTTCCCCTCCCACATTTATGAACACAGGTATGGGTGCAATAAACTCTTTCAGGTAAGCCAGATTAATTGTATATTGTATGTGTGAGTGAGTTAAATACCCCAAAATGTATTTTATTTCATACAAGTTATATACTACTTGAATGCAAAATGCCTCAAAGTGGTTGGGAAATGAGAAAGTACTGTCCCTTTTTAAATGCAGGAACAGGTGCTTACCCTTTCCTACTTTATTTTAAAAATGAAAGCAACCTCTAAAATGCCACAAAACAATTTTATAATTGACATGGCGTGAGTTTTGTATCTTGTGACAACGTTCACCTGCATTAGCTTTAAAAATACTGAAAAGCCATTTATACTGAATTTTCTAACATCTCCTATTCTTTAACACTATTGCAGAGGGAGAAACAACCACAAAAAGCACCTTCTAACAAAAATATGGCAAAAGACCTTTCATTAATGAGGATTACATACAAGAATATGATTGTAATATAGCAGTTTATAAGAAAATTACAATCTTTCAGAATTTTATAAAAACCTGTTATAAAAAAATCTGTCCCACAGATCATCCCATTGTCATCTCTGTAGCAAGTGAAAATCAATTACCGTATCTGCTTAAATGTAACATGCACCTTTTTTGAACAAATTACGTCGCAAAAAATAGGGTGCACATTAGATTCAATGGTGCATTAGATTCACATAAATACGGTAACAGGTAGGGTGGTATTTGGGAGGGAAGCTGGATGCTTTCTAAAAGAAGCAGACATCTTCAGCCATAATACCAATGTGAAGTTCATTCTGTATTTAAGTTTATGAGAGGCAAAGCCCACAGGTTGGACTGACCTGTAGGAACAAGCATGCTCATAGGAATGCCATCACGGGCTTAATGACGTCATTGCACTGGCTTGAGAAAAGCATCACATTACCAAACTATAGTAGCTGAAGACTGGTCAGGCACATTTCCCAACTAGTCCCGTCCAATAACATAGAACCTGGATTTAATGAATCTTCCCAGTCACTCATGTGGGCAAGAAAACAAAGGCCTCTGTGGACCACCCTTTCCTGACCAAGTGCAGTCCAGGTGTTTGGGAAACCCATCAGCCCCAGTAAACACTCAAAGTTCCCCAGATTGTGGGAGGCTGACACATGCTATCAAAATCAGCACAGAAAAACCATCCTTCCGCCATGAACTTCCTCTATGTCAGTAAGTAAATGGTACTTTTGCCAGCCATTTCCATTGCAACATTCCAGTCAGTAGGAAAGTACAGTCAAACCTTCAGCTCACAAGGCTGGAAAGCAGACAATTCTTTGCACATTATTAAATATTCAGTTATTCAGTAAATATCTCCTGCCAGAAAACATACATGTTTTTAAACACAAAAAGTGCAGGTGTTGAAACCTTCACCAGTCACAATATGCAGAAACAGCAAAGATCAACAGTACTGTTATCACATTAAGCAATGACTCCTTGACCTTAAGCACCTTACATGGAGACAAGTCTTACCAGATTTAAACACAGAATTTATTTCCACCTCATGGTCACAATTCCTAAGTACTGTGGGCTAACAGATCTGCACAGATTATATTTGCATTCCAGCAGCCTTCTACCAAACTTAAGCCATGTTTTAAGAAGAGGGATGATTGGATAAGCCAATCTGAAGCGGATGGGCTAGATGCATTCTGTAGCTAGAGTGTACTGTTGTTGTTGGTTTTTTAAAAAGCCACTCAGTTGCATGACATAATGGTTAGAATGTTGAACTATGACCTGGGAGACCAGGGTTCAAATCCCCTTTCAGCCATGCAGCTCACTGGGTGACCTTGGGCCAATTACCATCTCTTAGCCTAACCTACCTCACAGCGTTGTTGTGAAGAGGAAATGGAAAGGAAGAGAACCATGAGTTTCAGCAAGACCGTAGTTTGCTATCCACAAACCTGCTTGCTAAGGAAACTTATTTTCCCCATCAAGCAGCTAACCTCTCCCACCATTGTACTGTCACAACCATTTTGAAATCTCTCCATATATACAGTGGATTTAACAATGCTCTCTCTATTCTAAGGCTGTACAATTTATAGCAGGGGCAGGATAGTCTACCCCCCTTATGCCCTTGATTCTCAATAGTAAGTGTACGTCCACACACACAGAGTACCTATGTTGAGCTTTAAAATGGTGTCTGCTTTATGGTTACAACCATTATATAATTTAATTTTCAAAATATGTATTGCTTTAGTGACAAAGTAGCTAGCATAAACTGCATCTACTGTTTATACAATTAATGTTGGGAGCTGCCAGAATTCTTATCTTTAACCGTGTACACTAGTTATCAACAATAATTTGAACTAGCACGGAGAAAAGAAAAACAGATATTTACAATTCATCGGGTCGATAAGGCGGCGGACTTTCAAATGGCCTCGATGACATAGTGGAAGCTCTGGACTGTTTAGCTGCAAGAATTTAAATCTATAAGAAGAAATGGGGGAAAAAAGAAACTCAGCTTAGAATATTAAGTCAACCATAACCAAACCATCAATAGTTATACACACCAATATGGAATGGTAAGTTTCTAAATTACAATAACGGGACAACTCTTTTCAGCAAAGTAGATGTAGACAACAGAGACGGAATGATTTATGTTCTATAAGGGGTCGCCACATTTTTTGGCCCGCAAGCACATTTACAAATTGGTGAAACCATCACAGGCACACAAACACACCCCATAACAAACCATGCTCTGCAACCAATTATATCAGCTACAATGCTTCCTTAAAGCCTAATTTCAGCAGCATGAGGGGACTTTGTGGACACACACGCACATGCAAGTACCATCCCTGTTTACCATGTATGATACAGGAGCAACTATTTATGTTCCATCTAAATTTACAGGAAATCCCAAGTGTGTTTACAAGGAAGTATGTTTTACTTGGTAAATGGTCTTGCACCTATATAAGTATGCACAGGACTGCAGCTTATGGATACAATATAAACTGATCCCCCCCCTCTCCAATTCTCATAATTGGCTTCCTCATTCATTCCTTTTAATATAATTAAATTGATTCCATCTATTGAAAATAATTTGGTCAATACTCTTCAATCCAATTCAAGCTTTTATAGATACATCCTTTTATCTTGCTCCCAGAAAGCAGCTCCCTTGTTCATTTTGGGTGAGATGGCAGATACGCTCAATGGCAGTGTTTTCATGTAATATTAAGCTATGGTGCATGGTTGGTTTAAACTTTAAACCATACTGTTCATGAGTTGCAGGCTTGTCCATACAGATTATTATGCACTTCCATTTCACAACCCACTCTGGCCAGTTGGGACAACAAACCACAAGCTTTGGCTTACCCTGAAGTTTGAACCAGAGATTCTTGTTTGCTTCTCTCTAAATTCACCATGATGTTATCATGGTTTGTTTGGGAAAAACAACCGACAAGAGTACTGGTTCAGACGTCATGCTAGCCCAAGGCTTGTGGTTTGTAAGTTGTTGCTCCTGTCTGGACAAAGAGGGGAATGTAAAGAAAGCACTCAAGTTGTGGGCACTTCCAAGCTGTTTGCATATTATGGTTAAAAAACAAACCACACACTTTATATGTTTTATGTGACGGGTATGGGGCATTTGTGTTCTCTATATAATGCCACACTGCATACCTGTATTTCTTTTTAGCTTTCCACATTGCTATATTATACAGTGGTGCCCCGCAAGACGAAATTAATTCGTTCCGCAATTTTTGTCGTCTAGCGAATTTTTCGTCTTGCGAAGCACGAAATCCCATAGGAATGCATTGAAAATCAATTAATGCGTTCCTATGGTCAAAAAAAGTCCAAACAAAGCCAAATTTGGTACAACAACAGTTTATTAACTGCTCTTTAAAATCACACATACTGTAAAGAGCAGTTCAAAAATTGAAGGGAAAATAAATTAACTTTATAAACAAAACATGTCTTTGTTTTTAGACAAAGAAAACAAAGTCGCGAGATGTTTTCGTCTTGCGAAGCAAGCCCATAGGGGAAATTCGTCTTGCGAGGCAAATCGAAAACGGAAAAACCTTTCGTCTAGCGAGTTTTTTGTCTTGCGAGGCATTCGTCTTGCGAGGTACCACTGTAAATGTAGAACCGAGCTCTCTTCAGTTTTTAAACATGAACATTTGCAATCATGATCTATGCTCAGATCATCCCTACATTTCATGATTTATGCTACAATCCAAAACACGCTTCCCAGGGAGCAGGCTCCATTGAACTAAATGGGATTAACTTCTGAACAAACCTATTCCAGGACACTGGAAAGTCCAACACACACAAAAGCACATTTGGCTTAACAAACATACATACAAAGCAAGCGAAGCAGATCCACCTGCTGTGTGTTCTGGCTATCGATCTATGCAACTTGAAAAATATGATATATACACATATTACTATAATATTCCATCTAATTCCAGTCCCACATTCTGAAGCAATTGCACTCTTAATTTAGGAATGTACTGGAAACCAACATGCAAGAATGAGAAAACCCCCTTTTAAAAATATACTGTATTCATTTTGTTAACTAAAACTGTGTGTCATATCTTTGCACAAAATTGGAAAAACTTCAACCAGATCTCAACACTGATAATGATTACAATTTCAACCCATTCTACCAGCCTGCACTTACACATGCTATTATTTAATTCTGTAACAAGTCTATGTGAAACCAGTTTCCAAGCTTCTGACTGATCAGAGTCCACCCTTGGCCAAGACGTCAAACTTATCCAACCTCCCAGTGCATTGTTCAGAACGTGCAATGCTTGATGACGCACTTGCAGGAGTCCTCTAACTTACCAGAGTGTCCTAGTTCTCTGCTTGGCATACAGAACCAGTAGCCTTTAACATGAACCCATCTACTGTATAGTGAAAACCTATTAAAG